TGATACTAAAAAAACAATGGAGATGTTTATTTGAAGGCATCTTGACTTCTGTTATTAATTACAGAGAAAGACGGCGCAGAAGAAGCAGAAGTGGATCTAGGTCACCTAAAAAGCCCAGGTCTCCCAAGAGAAAGCCGTCCAGGTCTCCTTCACCAAAAAGGTTTGTTTGTTTAACAAATCCATAAACTGTAGACTTCTGCTTTGGGAAGGACACAGTGAGAAGGCAGCTGTCTCATTGTTGCAAGGAAATCCTTGGAGCATGTTATTTTGTTAATAAGTGTACTTAGATTACCATGACTGGCCATTAGAGCAAACAATGGTATATACTGGGATATATTAAAAGGATTATAGCTTTTATTATGTTATTTTTATAAATGTTCTTTGCTATATAACATCATGACAAAAGTGGTGACCATATAAGTTGTAGAATTCCCTCTTTTTTATATCTGTACACATCTTGGTTTATTTAGTGTCTTCATTGTTGTCCTACTTTATGGTTAATTAGCGGCTAGTGCCTGATGCTGCTTGTGATTTTTTAGAAACAAAAAATACTGTGTTTTTGAAAGGAACAGTGTAGTTTGTGAGTTGGATCTATCACACCCAAAATTGGATGAAATAATTTCTTAGTCTGCCATCTTGATTCAGAATGGCACCCAAAACCCTTGTGGTGATTCTGGTAATGGTAATTTGGGAGGTGGCCGAAGCAATGTCAAAATGGCCAAAGTCAAACTAAAGTGATGTTTCAGTCCACCACCTTGATTCACAACGGTGCCAAGTAGCAACGAAGTCTGCTGTCCCGCCGAAGGAACCCTCATGCTAAGTTTGGTGATGATATTGCGAGAAGCAACCAAACCTGTGCCAAAAATGGAAGAAGTGACATTTCTCCCTGCTGACTTGATTTAAAATGTCAGCCAGCATCCAAACATTTACAAAGATCACTATCCCCACTTTGTTTGGCAATGATATCTCAAGAGGCAGCTGCACCTATAGAGAACAGGCGGACAGACAAATCCCTTTCCAAAGCATAAAATAGTTTAAAATTCTGGGCTGAGAAGGTATTTTAAAAACTAAAATCAGATTGATAGGAGGGCTTGTTACATTCATTTTGGTGCTTGTAGCCAATGCAGTTGATATTTTTGTGTGAATAATTTTATATACTTCTAAGGAGAGTGGAATTGTTTGGATGGTTTTTAGTAAATTAGCTTTTATAGAATTATAGGCAAGAGTAAATTTCTTTAGCTTGAATCTGAATATTACCAACAGATCAGTCCAGCAAAAATCTCACCCTCTGCAGAACCAGTTTTGGATGTACAGCTTGCCATAACCATACTTTTTGTTCAAATTTGGCTTCTGGCTACTTGAAGGGGGGCGGGGAGAACTGAAATATTTCACTGATCCTACAAAATGCCTATGTTTCTCAGTTTCTTGAATTATCTTATTGCCTTAGGCACAAAAAAGAGAAGAAAAAGGATAAAGACAAGGAGAGAACCAGGGATGAACGCGAGAGGTCAACAAGCAAGAAGAAAAAGAGTAAAGACAAAGAGAAGGATCGAGAGAGAAAGTCAGAGAGTGACAAGGATGTCAAAGTATGCTTTAAAAATCTGTTTTGTTTGTTTGTGCAGTGTCCTACTTAATCCTAGAATCCCAAGAGCCTTTAAGCTTGTCTTACATATTTTGCTTTGTGTTTTATCTTGGCAAAGCAGGTCACAAGGGATTATGATGAAGAAGAACAAGGCTATGATAGTGAAAAAGAGAAAAAGGAGGAGAAGGCAGCAGATTCTACTTCCCCAAAACATAGGGAGTCACCAGCCGAAAAAGGGAGCGGAGATACAACAAGGGAGTCCAAAGTCAATGGGGATGATCATCATGAAGAGGATATGGATATGAGTGACTGAATATTGCCTTGGCAGTGAAAACAGTTGCCGACATGCATCAGTGTCATTCCTGTGTGATTCCTTTATGCTGTACTTGTTTAACCTTTTAAGCTAGATGTACACAGCTGTAACTATAACTGGTTGTAAAGCTCCTGATATTAAATAATTACATCAAAAGCTTTAGAGAAAGTGATGTCTGGGTTTCCATTCTTGTTATTGGCCAAACTGAATTGAGTAGCCCAGCAGTTCTTATTAAACTTGGTGCTGCTTTTTTCATTTTTGAGCAAAAAGCTGCATGCATCTTTGGCAGGCATGGACTGTTTGTGTTGTATGATCTTTTTAGTAAACCAGCTCACCTACAATAGTGTTTCTAGAGTTTGATTCATTTGCGGTAATAGAGCAAAATAGGGAATGCACTGGCTGCATGTTAACTGTGGCAAGAACATCCTCATCTCCTACAACATGGTGGATCTACTAAGGGTCTTAAATGTAGACAAAGAAACTAACATTAGCTTCATCTGGAAACAAACGTTCTGATAGACATAGATAACCTTTTTAGCCTTGTGGCTAAATCTTTTTGTTGTGGATTTGTTTGGCTTTGGCAAGGTTGAAATGCACTAGCCTTTTTTGATGCCCAATGTAAGGTGAACTTCCGAGTCTAAATCCTTCTCAGGTGGTGTGTTTGATTTTTGACAACTTGGACTTCTTGAGATAGTAATGCAAAACTTCTGTAAGACAGGAGGGAGTGAACCTTGTGTAGTTAGTTCTTCATAACCTGCGTTTATTTCATTTTGTTTGTATGTGTAAAAACCCTGCAAAAAAGGATAGTGCATTTAAAAAAATTGAACTTCATGATAATTTTAAAACATGATGATTTTAAAACAAGTCTACTTGATAATGTACTTGATCGCAAGTTGTATAAACTAATAAATTTGTGTTACAGTCACTGAAGTAGTAACCTTTTGCACACAGTGATTTCCTGTTATTATGCAAAGTAGTTGGGCAACCTCTTTTAGTTCTGGACGTTTTTGGAGCATTTACTTTTGTGCTGGTAAAAACAAAAGTAGGCTACAGTCTGTGCCATGTTGATGTACAGTTTCTGAAATTGTTTTACAAGACTTTGATAATAAAACCCTTAAATATACACTTGTATTTGTACTACAGTGTACATGTATCTATTTATGCTATTGACTTGTATGGCATTACCTCACTTGTCTCCTATTCACGTTTCCATTTAGGACCAGGCATAAACTGATGCATAACTCTGCTTCCAGGCGTTTCCCACATTACTTTGGGAATGGGAGAACAAAAAACAAGTGTTACAGCAAGTCCTTAAAAGAGGAAATAATACAATGTAGTCTAAAGCTTTCGTTATCACTGGAATGTCAACTCCTTGACCTGTATTTCTATTTTTAAAAAGTGGGAAAATAAGGTAACATCCAAGTGCCATTCATTCTGAATGCAAATCTGTCAAAGAAAACTTGCTCTGATAACCAGTGAAGGCTGATAGAAGTTACATGTTAGTAACCATATTGGTTGGGTAACCTGTGGCCCTCTAAATGCTGTTGCACTCTCATCAACTCCCAGCAGTATGGCTGGGGGTTAGGATGATGGAAATTGTAGTCCAGCATCATGTGGAGAGTCACAGGTTAGCCATGCCTGACCTACATTATTTGTTTGAATTTTATAAATTTAACACAAGTAGCATATGAAAATGACATTTTTCCACAGGTGTTTTACAGTGAAAATTGCTATTTAGAATAACTTCTTAGAATTTATGGATATGTAACTTTCTAAATAACTGTGAGGTATTTTCTCAATATAGTGAAGTATATAAAGAATGTCTCCCAGTCTTTCTTTTCCTAGAAAAAATGTAACGTACCCTCAAAAGATAATGAAGCGCTCTGTCTTTAGATATCCCACTGATGAGTATGTGCTAGAAGTCTCGGTTAATTGTTGTGGTTATTTGTGACTATACAAAGCAATTCAAAAGCAACCCATTTTTGCTGAGGTCTCAAAAGTAAATTGAAACTGTTTTCGCGTTCCTAAGGGCCAAGCTACATGATGCATTAAATGTAAACCTTCCCAAGTTTTGTTTTTTTGAAAAATAGCTTATGATGGGGAACTAGGAATGCAGGGAGGAGAGCCATAACATTTTCCTCAAACTGCGTGCACACAAAACACACAGCTGTTAAGGGTGGAAACTGCTTCTTTTCTCTGTCAAACAGCTTGGGGGTCTCCAATGCCTTTATTTATTTAGACATGCAAATATGATTGTTTTTTAACATCTATTTTGGCCTCTTAGCGAGCTTGTGAAAAATGCATTAATAAAAAAAGCAAGTGACTCAAAACCTGGATGTAGAAATAAGTGTGGCTCAGATGTAGACTCACTATATACTGATGCAGGATTCCTGAAGCTGGTGCATCCTGAGCAAAGTTGTCTGCAAAACAGTCGTTTTTTGGCGTTTCCCCGAGAATCAAAATGCATTCTGGTCTAGGTCAAAGCTGACCTTCAATCTCGTATAGACCATGACCTCAAGTTATGACAGCAGTTACGATACAATCTCCTGAAACACATGGTAGCTGCTAATCCAGCACCATTCCACACAGGTGCTGTGAGAGGGAGGTCCTGGCATATGCAGCTTGTCACCTCTTGGGCAACGTAAAAGGGTGGCCATCACTGATCAACTTTTAGCCAGGTAGATGGTATGTGGAGATACTACTGTTTAACAAATAGGGCCTCCACATTTGTGCTGTGAGCTTGGAGGCAGCACCATGAACTGAGCGATCTGCTCACAAACGAGCATTTTGTATATCGGGGAATGCTTTGGAGGAATCTTTTACTTCGTAGGTCTGCTGAGGATAGCTTGTTGAAATTAATTGGTTGTGCGATTTGAATTTCCTTGGCTCCCACGTTCTGTGCCAAAAGGTATCTTCCGTACCCATTTTTGAAGCTGTCGTCCTGAGTAGAATCCTGCTGAGGAAAAAGAGCTCACTCTCCTTTACAAAGTCTCTCCTTGACTAGTCTCAAAAGGAAAGACTCAAGTGTCAATAGAGTGTACTGCTCAGCTGATTTCATCTTGATGAATATAAGGCTCACCCCATAAAGTTAGAAAACAACAAAGATGCACTGAAAATTGAGGATTTTATTGAAAAATTGACCAATAAAATGTCCTTGTGAAAGTGATACACTGTAACATCCTTTTTCTTTAGCCTTCCTCTAATAAGGAGGAAGTGTCCACACATGGTAGAATATAGATTTCTGAAAATGTCCATATGTTCAGTCTCAAAAGCAAACAGCATCTTTTGGTCTTTATTCTAAGTGGTACAACCAAAAACACTATTAGTGAAAGTGAGTTTAGATTAGACAAAGAACACATGAAATATACAAAAAATGACATTAGGTTTTCACAATTATAAACTGTCAAAAGAAAAATTGCAGCATTATAGGAAGTTTGTTAATAAAGTTTAAATAATGTAATTAACTTTTAATGAATCAAAATCAACAAGTATATATTTAAAAAATGAACTTTTTGAATATATTATGCTTCAACTTAAGGTAGGTTTCCAGCACAGATTTATATCCACTGTTGTACTATCTGATAAAAATTGCTAGGTATCCATCAATTGCAGTTTAAAACTTAAATAAGGAGACGAACATCAGCTGCTTGGAAAGAAAGATTATTCCCTTTGCCACAAGTTAAAGCAATAATTTGGAAGACCAGTAAAACTGAGTTTGGTTAAGGAAGAGCTCAGGGGTTTCTTTTTAAAAGGATTCCATATTTATGCCTACCAATACACTTTGCTTGGTTTCTAAGAGGACATACGGTATTTCAGAGAAGTTTCAAAAGCCTCAAAGAAAGTCAAGTTCATGTATACTTTTGCATCAGTCTAAAATATTCAGAATGCTACTTCCTTTACACTCTTGCTTCCCACAGATGTTATATCCAACAATGACCTATAAGCATGCAAGAGGCACTTAACCTATAATCTGGCCTCTTTCTGGTTCTTCTATTGCGATACTTTAGCACAGTTTGCATGAATGCTGCTTCGCAATGTACCCCCCCACCCTGCTTTCCCAATACCCTTGTGAGATAAAAAAAATCCTTGAGAAAGATTCAAATGTTCTCCAGGACACAGTAATAATGCCCAACTGAAGTTCCTAGCTGTGACACCGGTATGTCAGAAAATATAAGTGCTTAACTCCTAAGTGCTAAATAATTTTGATTTATTTATGTCTACTCTTCTTTAATAACCAAGTATCAAAATCTCAGATCCAAGACTTCCTAATCCAGCGGTAAACTCTTGGGAATATTACTGCGGGCATGGAGCTCCCTTTACAGAGGTGTTTTTTTTCCAGAGTCAATGTACAACATTCCTATTGCATGGGTGGCTAAACTACCTGAATTGACATACCAGGAGCTTGATGCATACCAGAGATCTGCTTGTATATGCATCTGCTTGCAGACGTTTTGCCAGCAACAACGGGTGCTGCTTTTTCCTGAAAATCCACTACTGGAACAAAACTAAACTCCCTTTATGTAGCTACAATTTTTTAAAATGGGATGAAATACAACATAAACTGAAATCTTTAAAGTAGGGGTGTAACAGAATAACATTGCTCCAAAATCACTTCTGTCCTCCAAAATGGTGCAGCACCTCCACCTGGTTTAAGCCCTTCTTCACAGAAGGACACAAGGTTGTGACTTGAATAGCACAAAGTTCATTGTTCTTTGTTACCGTGAAAGGAGACCCACTTGCTAGACATTAGTCTGACAGTTCATGGGCTAACATTTATTTTTGTAGAACTCGATGAAAAACAACTTTGGCATTATTTATCCAGTAATTTTACATACGTAGGAGATGACCAATTGCATATTTCCACAGTTTAGTGGCCATCACCTATCAAGCCCATACCACACACCATTCATTGGTGTGAGAACAGCATTGTAAATATCATTTTAAGCATCTCAGTAGTTTTATGAAATACTCCCAGGATAGGTAACATGAAGTGTCAAGCACCTTCAAATCCAATGTCTCCTACAGAAATTATCTGGCAGGGGAAACACCATGATTTTTTATATATTAAAAAAAATATTGACAAAACAGCTCTGCCTTCAAAGTTCATTTTCTATTTACAGGCAGACAATATCCTCTGACAGTGGATACTGGTAGTGAAATGGAACTTTCCACAATATGGCAGCTACAATGATATACTAAGCCAGCAGAACTGTCAGTCTTCACTGTCAACATCACTCAGGATTGAAGCTTTAAACAAATTTACAGTATTTGTGGAACTGGGCCCAACATTTGGGCCCCTATTTTAGGTCATGAAGATTTTTTTTCTCGCGAGTTTCCTCTCTGCACACTGCAACAGTACAAAGCTATAGGACTTGGGAATATGCCTGAAACCTTTTTCCTGGCAAAGCTTATGTGGCTCATGAGTCTGGTTTTACTGTGCACTGTGACTCACCTCAGCCCATTTGACATTCCAAGTTATCACCAGCACTGGGTGTGTTAACTAGCATGGTGGCTTAAGTCTGAAAGTGATTTGAGCAGTTTCCAAAAGAAGAAGAAAAAAATGACTAGACTGCACAAAGAATATACCTTTGAAAATATTTACATTTCTGTACATTTACACATCACTGGAAGCTAAAAAGCCTTGGAATACAAATGAACATAGTACTGACAATTCTGGACACATTCTTTCCAGTAGAGCCAAAAAGGATAGTTTCTCTTCAAGTTTCATACAGTGGAACCATATGAAGATTCTAATTTTTTTATTAAAAAAAAAAAACCTTCTGAATAAAAACGAACATTCTTCTTTCTGTAGCTACCCATGCTGGAAATACCTTAATTATTCTTGTACTTTCATTTTTGTACTCTCCATCCCCAATCTATTGCAACCCCTATTCACATCTAGGTTTGCACTTTGGGAAATGAAAGCATAAACCAAGATTATTGTAGTAATATATTCAATATATTCCCAAATACTACTGGATAACAAATACAAGTTTAGTAGGTTTGATGGGCAGCTTTTATGGCTCTGAGGAACCCAAAAGAATGTCAGTGATTCAACCTGTGGGCTGTTTAATAATCTCCAAGCATGCTCTCTAACGAACACAGCAAGGACATTTCCAACCAGCTTGGGTGGGGAGGGCAGAGGGGATATCTGCAGATTTATATAAGATTAGTAACAACTTACATTGGAGAAATGATAGGTTGGCGGGGGGGGGGGTATGAATAGCACCACAATGAATTGCACTAAGGTGCTAAAGGAGGTACCTTATTCCCTGCAGAGTGAAGGCTCTAATTCTGAAACGTATTGCAGTAAATGAATGCAACTGTTTAAATGCTTACCATTTGGTTCATTCGTCTGCAGAAAATCAATTCCTTCTACTATATGCTCAATTTACTGAACAAATATTACAGAATTTACAATATATGAAAACAAAGCTCCAAGGAAGGTTATAAGAGCAGCTTAAGTAAGATGGGTATTTTAAAGGGCTAATAGCCAGGTAAGACATTTTAGTTCTTTATGCTAATGGTCCAAGGGTGCTTTTATTACCGAGAAACGTAAAAAAATTAAGAACAAATTACAGTCCTTATAGCTGTTATGTAAGTTTTTGGGGGGGCAGGGGGAACTTACTGAGGTGCCAGGCTATCATGCTTGCAGGTCTGGATGTATAAATGCATGTGACACAGCAGGAGACCAGCTTTCGTTTAGACACTAGGTGGATGTTTGCTATATGGTACAACTGACTGAGATTCACGGTGTGTTCCCTTTCTGGATTCATTTTAGCGAGTTCTGTCCCTTCGTACTTCACCCACTTTTAGACAGATGTCTGTGGGCTACCTGCATCCTCTCTCTCCCTGTCTCCTTGTGGCATGCTGGTATTTTCTTTTTATTTACTGCTAACTTTCCAGTTAAGTTAGAGATCAGGAAAGCGGCTAGGGTCCTCCTTGTAGTCATCAGGAATTGTGAAGATGGATTCATCAAACTCATCATAGCGAAACTCCTGAAAAGTCACAGTGGCTGTGATGGTTGGAAATACAGGTATATCTAGGAAGAACAGAGCAAAGGATTGGGAGGTTAGAAAAGGCACAATGCACAACAGAAAAGGGCATTTCTGTGGCAGAAAAGGATTCACCAGCCACTTGCTCAACTTCCTGGTAATCTGGCTGGAACAGCGTGTCAGAGGAGGGGTTGGGGGCAGAGTTTACAGTGGTTCTGGTCCTTTCTGGAGGGATATGTGTAAATTGTTTTTAACTTATTGTAAAGTAGCTTGAGATTGCCCTAAAGGGCAGAGTGAAAATATATTTTAAAAAATCTTCGTTGTCCAACTCTGTTCACACTTCATGCAAATACTTGCACTCCTCACTGTTCTCATTTGTTAAGAAAAGAGCACAATGTTAGCCTCCAACCATGTTAAAGCACTGACAAACTCGGTGTAACTCTGTACCATCACAACACAGCAAATCCCTGGGCACTGACTGTGTGACTTCTGTGTTTTCTATGACACCCGGTAAGCTTCTGCAGAAACTTTGGGTAGCAGGCAGACAAATTTTGTTCACGAGGGCTGACGTCTTGAAAACTGAATCATTGCTTGTGGTGTATGTTCATCCCATTTTTGGATTTTGGATAAATAGTTCTGCAGGTTTTTGTGTATTTGGGAAAACCTACTAGCCTGCTTTATCAGAGGGGACAAGGCCCTAAGATATTAAACCACATTTGCCTCTCTTGCGAAATGCTGACTGTCTCCAGCCTTACTTACTCTATTGCCGCACTTCTCATTGGCCAAAATAGTTTTGAAGTAAGACTATGAAGAAAACAAGTGATTTTCATGAGAGACTATGGGCATGCAGAAAAGGGTTAATCTCCCTTCCATATACACTGTATCTCCAAATGCTAAATGTGTTTCCTACGTTGCCTACTCATGCAATAACTTCACTTTCTATTATTGTGTACTTTCCACTCAGTACACTATGAAATGGCATGCTAGTTTCACTCCAGCATCTGACTATCTTCCTGCTAAAGCCTGAGTGACAGCCCACTGCATTTCTCACCACAAAGATTAAAAGGCTTTTCAATACAATCCATGTTCTTGGCAGACCAGACAGTCCCTTTTAATTGATGAAATACACTTCGACAGCTCACCTAACTTTACAGGAAAACCCGGTGGTAGTTTCATCTGCACAAACTCCCGCAGTTTGTTAAAGTGCTTGAAGGGTGCAATTACTTCTAAAACATTCAATAACCTGGGGGGGAAACACACACATGTAACAATTTCATCTCTTAGCAGCTTTAGGATTTACCCACACACTCCTAATCAGTGGACTGTAAGAAAAAGAGGTGTCATCTCAGCAAATCACTGCAAACTGAGCCAAGACACATGCCGAGGGAAAGACGCTATTGTTCATGGCCACTGATTCAAATCAAGTAATTACACTGAACCATTTTTGTTAGCACAATGCAGGTTAAGAAAGAGTAAGCTAAATAGTCCGGCATAACTTTGGTCCAATGCAGCTCAGAGACGGTCACAACTGAGTATTCAAACTGCAGCGAGCTTCAAATGACTTGGTAGGAGGATTTCCAGATTGTTTCTCCTTTGGGTAAAGCTGAGTTTTAGCACTCATTTATTTTCTGTTAGGTGAGATTTAAATTTCAGGATTTCAATAGGTTTCAAAACTAAAACTTATTAAGAACTCCAGTAGTAAAGCGTCAAGCTTAAAACAAGCTTCCTTTTGAATCGTAAAAGGAAGAATCTTCCAAAATTCCAGTTTAGGAACTTTTCTTTATAGATGTCGGAAAACTTCCTATCCGGGCACACAAATAATAAAAGATCTGGAAAAGCATCACACTTCAAAAACTAGACATTTCCAAGTCACTATATATTCCGAATATCTCTCATTAATTTTTTTCACATCATCTCCTCCACAGCATCTATGTAAGTGGCTAACTTATTCAGATCATAAGTAGAGCGAATGTACTAGTATGGGTACACTGCTGAAAGGCTTCAGAACCCAACATGTTGCTTACAAGGCCTCCAGTGCCCATTCTTGCAGGGGTTCATTAACTTCCATAACTTCAACCCCACCCTTACGATTCCTATTCCTTGTCCCACAATCCTCCTAGCCAAAGTTCAACCTCCTTCACCCCAGATTTTTCTTCTACTTGAAAAAGTTGCCCAAACATGGAATGCTCTTCGGCTCTTAGATGCAGAATAAATCATACACACTTCATTTTTTTATATAGATTTGAGAACAGAATACAGAGGACTTGAGACGTCTGGATAAAATCTGAGAACTTTACATTTAAGAATACTGGAGAAACTACAAAAAAATTGGATCATTGTAGAGGTGAACCTATGGCAGGCAACATGTTTTCCCATTTATTCTATGGCAATGTATTATACTGCAGTCTTTGGAACAAGCAAAATTTTATACATATCAGCCTATTTTAGCTAAATCACATGCCCTTTCACAAACTTTTGTAGTGGACAGTTTGAGACTTACGATTCAATTCCTAGAGGAAATTCTTGGCTCATGGCTATTGTGGCTTTAAATGTTTTCTTGCTTTCTTTGCAGACCAGTTCCCTACCCAAATGAGGTGCTCTAAGTTAAAGAAAATAAAAATTAAAACCTCCCTAGAGACATAATTTATAAAAACAATAAGAAATTGGAATGCATTTCTCTTGTGCAGGAAAACAAGTTGACAGAAGTTGTTTAATGATGCCTGGAAGAGTTCAGATAGCAAAAACTGCTGAAGCAGGCAAGCTGCCCAGGGACTAACAGATTAAAGCAACTGAATAGAAGTCTGTAGAAAAGAGAAATATATAAATACACATACACACTTTGGCCGTATGATTTCACACAGTTAAGAATCTAGGACTAGGATCTAAAAAGCTATTCAGATGAGCCCAAGGGGAATTTGTCTTTTGACTTTGAAGAGCAAACCCTCATACCGTTTCTAAAATGTTTTGCAAGTGTGGCATGGAGCCCAATGGTCATGATAACTAGTTTAACAGTTCTTTCCATACTGGCCATTGGACACTAAAATGGAAATAGTGTGGAAGCCTTAAAAAAGGCGGGGGGAAAGAAGGAATAGATACCAGCATGTTACTTTCTAATTTCTGTGATCAAACAACTTCTGCTGGACCAATGTGTAAGTATGGAAGAAATTCATACTGAAACAGACTGTCCTCCTTGAGTGCAATTTTGTTTAGAAACTTAGAACTGTTCTTTAATATTTACATTTAAACTTGTACATTTGGGATTGGATCTAGAGTTATCTTTCCACAAAGAGAAGGGCTCCCTCAAATCTTGGAAGGAAGTGAGATCCAGCAAAAAGTCTCATTAGAGTTCACTCTTCCTCATGAAGCCCACAGTGCCCTGTCCCGTGGTGGGATAATGTTTGGGTGTCTCCCACTCTCCAGAGCATCTTCCCATGGGGCTGTGGGAGGGTGGGAGGAATTGGCAAAAATGTCTCCCCCACCCTCTCCAGTTGGAGATGCTGCTGGAAAACTGGAGCTAACCCTCTGAATAGTGTTAAGAAAGATATCACATCCCAAAATTTACAAGTAAATGAGGCATCCGAAAAATATCCAGAGTCATCCAAAGCTCTCCAAGTCCATCAATATTAGAGACTTGTCATCTTGTGTTTAGTCAAGCCTTCATGACCATTTCACCCCAAACCCATGAAAGTCCAAAATGAAGAGACCACTTCTGATTTGGTCAAGCATGTGTATAAAAGTAAAAACAACAAGGCATATATAATCAGTTTAAGATGTTATTAAAACAAAGACAATATCATGAGTTGAGGGTTAAACAGCAGTGTTGTCACAGTTAAAATCTAGGATCAAAAAGCCTTTGATTTGATGCCACTAATACTGACCAAATTCAAGATAGCTGCTTTAGCTCTAGTAATGACAATAAGATTATGTGCATGGAATAGGAGTTTCATTCAACAGCATTCTGACATGCACATCCCAGTCTACACACATTATCAAATCATCCTTCAAAAGCTGTTTGCTATAGGGTGCGGAATGCTGCTTTTCACGAAACCATTTGGAGCTCAGGAGTAGTTTCACGGATCTCTGGATAAGTAGATCTTATCATACTACTTTTCTTCAAGATAAATCACACCAAATACAAAGGACATATCTGATTCCCATGAGAAAGGGACTGATTTTACACCATTGGAACAATGGGACCTAAACGTATTGGGGTCAGTCCATACAATCTAAAACCTGTGTGTGCAACTTTAAGCAGACATTTCTATTTTCAAACTAATAAGGCTTTACTGCAGCAATAGGAAGAATGGTTTCATATATTCATCTTTGTTCTCAATTCTATACTAAACGTTTCAAATCACTACCTATGAGGTGAGCCAAGGACAGCACCTTATGCAATAAATTTGGATGTCATGGCTGGTTTTATAGATAATTAAATTTCACAGATGTGCACTTTTAAACCCCAATAAAGGCCCGGAGCAGATGATATTTGAGTCCTTCATGCATTCTGATTGAAAAGATACTCTCATTGCAGAAATTGCTTGTATGCTTCCAATGAAAATAAACTAATATATAAAACTAAATATATTGAAACACACAATTTTAAATAAAAAAGCTTGAAGAATAGAAGGTTTCAATTCCCTGTAATTATTATTTTATTATCGTATTTATATGGCTGGCACCTGTCTTTCTCAGGAGACAATGGAAAAGTGCACCTTTGGGGTGAAGGCATATTTATATAATGCTTATATCTTGCCTTTTCCCCAGACCAAGACTCAAGGAAGTTTGCAGATAAAATAGGAAAAGCTAAAAACATAGAAGAGTAATGCCAAATAAAATGCATATGTAGGATTTAACCAAGGAATTACAGACACCATGGGCTTCTGCTCATGGAAGTGACCCTGATTCAGTCAAAACTCATGCCTGGGGAAAAGAAAAGGTAACGTTCACCAGTTCTTCCTTCCCACTGAAGCCTGCAGCGCCACCTACTAGAACAGGGGTCGGCAAACTAAGGTCCCCAAGCTGTATCAGGCCCACTTGGGTCCTAAATCTGGCCCGCTCCGCAAAGCCGTAACCCGCTGCGAAGCTGAGACTCCCGGCAATGGTGGCAGCGGCTCTTCCACTCAATCGCCTGGTTTACCTCAGCGGCATTTGATTGGCAGACGTCCCCGTGCTGCACTGAGGTAAACCAGGCACAGCGTTTGATTGGTAAAGCCTCCACCACCTGGCCTCTTCCTCCCATAGCCATGAATTTCAGCTTCGTGGCGGGTTCTGGCTTCTTGGCGTGCCCTCTTCCTCCCGCCGGCGCCGCCCTGGTGCTCCAGTGGGCCAGAGAGTGGAGCGGATGAGCTTGCTCTGCCTACCCATGAGAAGCGATGGCGGGGAGGAGGACTACTTGCCCCCCTCACCTCTTCTTCCAGCTCCCCTGCCCCAGGTGCTGCTTCTCCGGCCCGCCACAAGGTCTGATGGATAGTGGACCAGCCCACAGCTAGGATCCTCCTGGGCGACATTTCACAGGGCACAGTGAAAGGAGGAATCGGTGAAAAATAACCTCCCTCCTCCCAGTGGAGTGTCTCGTGAAAAGAAATCAATTCATGTGAAGCCCTGATCCAACACATTGTTTTGAAAACGACATTAGGTATATACGTAGCAGCGGCTACGTATGGTTCCCTCATTGCGAGAAGCAAAGCTACAGGGAACCAGGCAGAGGGCCTTCTCGGTAGTGGCGCCTGCCCTGTGGAACGCCCTCCCATCAGATGTCAAAGTGATAAATAACTACCTGACATTTAGAAGACATCTTAAGGCAGCCCTGTTCAGGGAAGTTTTTAATCTGTGATATTTTACTGTATCTTTGGTTTCTATGGAAGCCGCCCAGTGTGGCTGGGGAAACCCAGCCAGATGGGCGGGGTACAAATAATAAATTATTATTATTATTATTATTATTATTATTATTATTATTATTATTATTATTATTATTAATGTATTTAATACTCACTTTCCATTTTCAGCAGATATGTACTCCTCCCATGTAATTGTGTTTGGTGGAGGTGGAGTAAGAGACTGCCTCCTGACAGGCTGTTAAAGAAAACAAATGGGAATTATTTGGAAATCCAAGCACTTTACTACTTAGTAGGCTACCATCATCTCATCTAAAAGAACATCTGTGTCTCATGCTTCCTCCAACATTTGCCAATCTGGAGAAGAGTAAATTGGGGCTAATCCAAAATTAGAACACTGCACTCCTGACAAATGAACAGCAACCAATCATTTCAACATGAAGCAGAAGTGTACACGTGTTAGCATGCCTGAAGAGCTGCGTACAAAAATATAAGCATTTCTTAAGGATTGTTGTTGTTCAGTCGTGTCTGACTCTTCATGACCCCATGGACCAGAGCACGCCAGGCACTCCTGTCTTTCACTGCCTCCCGCAGTTTGGTCAAACCTTTGTCTTCCCCAGATAAATCACAAGCATCAAGACAAGAGCAAACCTTGGCTATAACTCCTGGACTGTCTGGAACAAAACAAACCATGTGCCTAGGTTTGGCTGTAACGCTAAGCCAGACCATGGCTTAATCTCTAGCTGGTGTGGCAGCCAGAGGACTGGGAGTGGACCGAAGTGGTCACAACTTCTGCTGTGAGTACCTGCACACTTGCACATTCACACTCATCAATGGCTTGGCTTAGCATTACATCTGAACTAGGCCAGCAAAAGGCCACCTGTTGTTAAATGTTCAATTTAAACAGAACTTTTAACTGTACCTCAAAATTTTGTTCCATCAAGTTTCCACCTTTACTCAAGCTTTCCATAATAGCCTTGTTTCGAAGAATATCTTCCTCACTGAGATGCTCCCGTCTTTTCCTTGATTCTAAGACAAGTCCATTAACCAGGTAGAAGTCTGCCAAAAAGTTTCCTACCCTTTCCTGCAAACACACAAAAATAAAACACATGAAGTATTTGAGCCAAAATGCAAAACTTCTACTGAAACTCACCTAGTCTTTTCATTTATTGCCTACCTGCCAACTGCTTATGTTCTTTCCCCTAATGTCTCATTTATATATATTTCACTCGCTTTTCTTATAACCCTAACTTTTAACATCCTCCCAATCCGGATGACTGGGAAATCAAAACTGACAGCCTATATGTTTGTCCCACGTTTCACCTGCCTTACAGACGTCTTCCCTAGGGCACACTAGCACAGGATGGATGGATGTCTTAAAATAGTTATTAAAAAGTCTTACTGTTTTATCTTCTCGAAAAAGCCATCCTGTTTGGGCACGTGTGAAGGTGATTGATTTGGTTGATAATGTTGCTGAATAAATATCGCTGCTCATCAAAATGTCAACTTCCTCCTCTGTTTCCATCTCAGATTCCTGAAAAAAAGCAAGAATATTAATTGTGGTTTGGGTTTTTTTATTAAAAAAAACCAAACACCCCCCAAATTATTTAAACAGATTTGTTATCCTCTCCCTGTCCAATTTCTGCCTGAAATAAATAGAAGCCTTCCAGTAATAATTCCATTAGGTAGCAGTCTTAACCACTGCAAGTATGAGTACACCATATCTCCCATTGATATACATTCTCAGGTACAAGATTACTCTCCATTTAATTTCAGCTTCTTTCTAAAGCTACGCGTTCACATGTTGCCTTTGGAAACCTTCAGCGTAAATTAGTCTTCTGCAGTCTTCTGATTTCTCAGACCCTAGATGTGCATCGTATTACTGTCACTGCTACGTAAGTAATAATATATTTTGGGAGGACATTAGCAATCTATAAGGGAAAAGAGTTTAATATTGTTTGCAGCAGAACTGTTAAGCAACAAGGTATCCTGCAAAGCAATACTAAACGTAAGAGAAAAAACGGCAGTGGAGTTATAGCCCTCCTCCATACATGTCTACTGTGTTCAATGGAAGCGCTCCCAAGTAAGGGCACAGAGGACTGCAGCCTTACGTGTCTGATACCGGAATGACAATATCTTGCAACTACCTTGTACATTTTTAAAACAAGTCATTTATTTGGGGCACAAAACAGCAGGAAACATATTTTGCTTTGTTTTTGAGTAGCATTGTGAAAGATTTTACTAGCGGTGCTGCAGCTTACCTCGTGATGTATTCGCTGGTAAACTTTTTGTTCATTGTCTAAAACTACAAAGGATTCAGAGGGTGCAGCATCACCGTTGAAAATGAAGCTCAAGTCCCCTCGTTGGCACTTCATGTCAGTAAAATCTATGAGTGTTGTGTCAAGCCTGGAGGGAACATTCCAATACTTCAGCTGATCCAGAATATTACTTCACAAAATTGTACAAGTCAAGGAACCAGTGAGATTTGATTATTATTTTTAGAAGCAAGATCAGCCCTGTTTGGGTGTGCTATCTGTGTGCAAAGGCAACATACAAGCAGGGATGAGTGTGCTAAGATCTGCCCCCTGAATCACTCTGCCCATCACCCTCCAAAAGAAGAGGGTGAGGTATGAAGAAGGGAGCTTCCTCTACTCATGGAGTAGACTTACTACTCATGGAGTAGACTTACTACTCATGGAGTAATTTAGAACCCTGCACAACTGGGGTCACCTACAACCCTCGGAATGACTTTTAACCATCCGCTGAATGGGGTGGGCTAAAATGTGACAGAAGGCAGCAAAAACTGTGTGGCCACCTTCAGCGATTAGGGCTTCTGCTCACAGAAGATACCTCTACCCAATTTTCAGTAATCATTTCTCTTGCCCACTTTCCCCACAGCATCCTGTGCTACAGCCCAGCGAGGTCTCCTGACTGCTGGGAGTGGCAGGGATGAGGCAGCTCACTCCCTTTCATGCGCATTTCACTGCATACAACCCAAAATACACAACAAGATCTTGTCCTATCAAATCTTTTGAGTCTCTGCCAAAAGAAAAGAGAAAATATTCCTACAACAGAGAACTTCTGCCACTACTACTATGCAAGTTCTGTTCAGAGAATTCTAGTGAAAGTTTAGCTTTAGCAGAAGAACAAACTTGCTGATGGTACATGTCTGAAAAATTCTCCACACACAGTACAATAAGGTGAATTTTAACAGCTAACAGTAGTGCTGAAATCTCACTCAGTTAAGAAGGTAGTGCAAAATTTCCATTAGATTAAGAATGTAGCCAGACTGAAAAGTTTATTTTGCTTCTTTCAGTATTCCACAGAATATATATTCCATTTAATTTAAAATTTAGCAAGACGTGGAATTTTCCTTTTGACAAAAACCTGCTTAAATAGCAACATCTTTAGTTAAAAAGAAACCCAAAGTCATCTAGACTTGTTTAGAATCATCCAATCACCTAACAGGCAGCTATGCCAATATTTGGCTACAGGTGTTTGTTTTAGAAGCAGCCATGCAATATTCACAGGATTTAAGGAGACTGTGCTGAAGATGGTCCCTAAGCAAGCACTAGCCTTAAAAAGTCAAATACGTAATTCACAAAGGGGTAGAGCGAGCCACTTTACAGAATAAATCTTATTCATCATTTGTCCAGTTGAGAGCTGAGAACATGAATAGTGAGAGAATCACGACTCTCAACAAAAGGCATTTCAGTAATGAGTTAAAAGTCAGCTCACACTAACATCACATCACAGCACCTGGGATAAAGCGGCAAAACATGCACAACTCCATTTATCTGGAGACTCCCTATTATGAGCAGGCCATCAATGTAAACACAGCTATGCAGACCACTGGTAACTCTTGTACCGTTATCTTCTTTAAATAATGTTTTTTTGTAATAAACTCCAATACAGGAGTTTCTTCTCCAATACATGAAGAGTTTCTTTAAAGAGTTCGAGCTCATGAGCCCAACTCCACACCAGCAGGGGCCTGTGCAATTTTCCCTCTTAGTTGCAACTCCTTACATCATGTTAGATGCCACTCTGCAGGGCAACGTTTTGGAACATTAAGGTGACTGCAAAGGAAACACAGATCAAAAGGCTCTGTGAATGGGCAATGCATGACCTCTACATCTTATCCTCCTCACCCACATCACAACAGGGTAATTTGGAAATGCATAAAGACATTGGCAATAGAATTAAAACTCAATATTTTAACTTCATTTCATTTAGTACAGTCCAGGGGTGCGTCATTTGTAGTCCTTCAGATGTTGTTAACTACAACTCACATCAACCCCAGTAAGCATGGTTAGTGGTAAAGGATCATGGGAGTCGAATTCCAGGGGCATCTGGAGGGCTACAGGTTCCCCATCCCCGGTGTAACCCTTCAAAGGTGAAGACTATTCTTACCTGATATTTATACCTTGTTTGTATATTTTACATGCATCAGAAGGCAGGATTCGGGAAAGTAAAGGCACTGCATTTAGGGTAAAAACGACACCCTGTTACCATTAATGTCCTTCTAATGTATCTATTCAGCATACAGAACACAAAATAAAAACTATCAAACAAATCATATATAAACGCATCCAACAAAGCAACTAAAACAGAGCCGTATGTAAAGCTATTAATCATGATAGCTGTATAGTACACCCAATGCCCACAGGCACCTTTCCTCCAAATACCAGTCACTGCAGATTAACAACACGAGAGGCCTATTGCTCCATGCCCTGCTTATCGGGTTCCTAGAGGTATCTGGTTGACCACTGTGGAAAGCAGGATGCTGGATTAGACAGGCCTTCAGTCTGATCCAGCAGCTCCACTAGAATGGAAGCCAATAGAACTGTAACTAATTTAAAGAACATAATCTCTTCCACCGAAGGGTGGCAAAACACATTTCAGTTGTTTGAATTCTGACAAGCAGGAAAGCACTTTTCATATTTTATGCTCAGCTGTCCAGGGCGGCTGTCTACCAGCTCCATCTGGTACACTGGCCGAGACCCTACCTGCCTACGCACTGTCTCGCCAGAGTAGTGCATGTTCTGGTTATCTCCCGCTTGGACTACTGCAATGCACTCCACATGGAGCTACCCAGAAACTACAACGAATCCAGAATGCGGCTGCCAGAATGGTGACTGGGAGCAGCCACTGGGACCATTTAACACTGGTTCTAAAAGATCTCTATTGGCTCCCGGTACATTTCCAAGCACAATTCAAAGTGCTGGTGCTGACCTTTAAAGCCCTTAATGGCCTAGGACCTCAAGGAGTGTCTCCACTCCCATCATTCAGCCCAGACACTGAGATCTAGCTCCAAGGGCCTTCTGGTGGTTCCCTCACTGCGGGGAGGGAGGTTACAGGGAATGCTCCCAATCTCTGAAGGGATCAAGAAATATTACATCACCATCAAGCACTACCAAAATTAACAAACACAAAAGGGGCTGGATCCAGATGTCTTCAGTGGAACTCAAACTACTTGATGGTCCTGTGGGGAGGAGACTCTTTTTTTCCTCTGCAGTACCCTATGCCCCCTGAAAATATGATCCAAAGGGTTGGGTGACCTTCTGGAACAGCGTAGGAAGTGGCACTGGGCATGTAGGGGAAATCAACAAAAATTACATTTTCCTTCCATCTGCAGGAATCACCCGGCCACGAGTCCCCATGGGATCAGAGCCCCTATCTGTTAACAGAAAGAACCTTTCGATTTGTGGAAGATGTCCGGATCAAACTCCAACTATGTTTGTGCTTTTGCATAACTATCTACAACCAGTTTAGTGCAGAAAATCCAATCATTCCAAATACTGTAACAAGTCTGTTCTGGAGAAATAAGTATTTAGACTGGATAGCTCAGTTGGCAGAGCACAATACTCTTAATCTCAGGGTCATGGACAAAAAGATTCTTGCATTGCAGAGAGTTGGACTAGATGACGCTCATGACCCCTTCCAACTCTAGAACTATGATTTCCATAAAAATCTTTAAAATCTTACCCCAACTTTGAAAATCCCAGTGAAGTTCAAGATAGAAGTCACCTAGCTGGAGAGAAAGAGAATTTCTGTTAAATGTTAAGAAACTGATGACTACTTTCATGTCCACCCACCCAGGAAATGCTAGCAACCATAACTTTCATTTGCACATGCTAAACTTTGGGGTAAGTGTGTATTAATTGAAGATTTGATTTGCACACCTTTCACATTAACAGCTTTTTAAAAGAAGAAGAAGAAGAAGAAAAAGTGTAAATTAGTCTTACTTGTTTTATCTACGGAAGTACAGAAGGAACACGAACAAAATAACAGCCCAAACTATACAATATCTGAATCAACCTAACCTTGCAATCAGATGTAATGTATAAATTCTTTTACTACAACAGCTTGGCTTCTTAAAAATGATTTTTCAAAGAGTAACTATTTTTTTAGCAATACATTTCTCCTTTGAAAGCAGTCAGTGTAGGTGACAATTTTTGATAGCTGCTCCTTAGCCGAGAGCTTATGTTTGTAGAAAACGTCCTTCTGTGCAAGATCATAATTGCCAAATGAAGCCATTCTTCTGAAGAACTAGTTATTTCTGAAGCAAGGGAATCAACCATGAAATGCTAGCTAAGCTAAACAACTTTGACCCATATCAACAAAATGAGGAACCTGTGGCACCTCTTATAGTACATGGGTGAGGGATATCTAGAAGCAGCTGGAGAACGCATGATATAACAGAAAAACTTGCTTTGAATTGGAACCACTGAGTTTATGTACCCAGTTTATGTACAAAGTTCTAAAACAGGCCTTCTCTGTCCATGGGAATTAGCATGACAAATGGAAACTGTGAAAAAGCAGTTTTTCCTTCCCTCAAATGGAAACTGTCTCTCTCCTTATATCAATAATTATGGTATGTTAGGAACTGATCTCTGGCTCACAGTTTAAATGCTATTCAAATATTTTAACATATTTACATCAGCTTCCAATTTCACTGCAACTTCAAAATGCAGAAGCTACATGTAAACGAAGCATTATTAACCCAGCTTGACTTTAACACCAAAATAGAAACATAATTTTTTTCACAGTGAAGCTCAATTTTTAAAATCACTATTACGATCCATAGCAGAGACTTAACACTAAAACTCTACACCCAGAATTTAAAACATACAACCCATAGGCCATATCCAGTCACCAAGCCCTTTCTCTAAGTAGGGAAGATGTCACTGCTGCAAGGTAAGTCACCTACAGGTCAGTCATTCTAAGACACAGACTAGCAAGCAATATGCAATTCAGCCAGCAATTCCCAGAAATAAAAGCCTGTGTTGAGTTGTTTGCACTTAATGAAGATACAATGGCAATCACACACAAATTGTTTGAAAAGTAATGACTCCATACTCTCCAATGCGGGTGGGAAAATCCTTACAAACTTACCTCTTTCAGAGCTTTTAATAACCGAGGTCGCTTTTCCTCAACACTTTCCCTAGACTGTTGTTTCAGTTTCCTTAGAAGTGCTGTAACTAAATAAATATACTGTAAGTCCAATGTAAAGGCAATCATGTTAAGCATCCACTAAGCTGGGAGCTGCCTTTGCCTTTTGTAATGGCTGGTGGCAAAAGAGAAATCAGCATCCATTGCAGGGCCACCTCTACTGCTGGCAGAGAAGCAGCGTCGGCATCAGCACCAATTACAGGTAAGATCTTGCTGAAATCACTCAAGATCTTGCACCCTCCACAAGATTTCACATAATTTTGGATGATACCGGTGCTGCTTCTGCAGCATGGGCAGGGTGCCCATGGGGCTGCCATATTGGGGGCTTCTACCACCTGAGACAGTCGCCATAGTCTGCCTAATGGCAGAGGTGGCTCTGGTCAATTAGAAGCTTTTCGAGCTTTTCGTTACTTAAGCAGTATTGTCAAATAAATAAAACAAATTCAATCCAATCAAGTAAACCATATACTACCATTCAGAGACAAATATACAAAGCTTTCATAGGGGAAAGTGAAAGATCTCTGAATACCAGGTGTTTCAGTGTTACTGAAAGTGTGATCTAATCAGTAATCAGGATCGGAGATCACTGGGAGTCTCATAAACATGCACAAAGCCAACATGTGTGCTTTTCCTGAGAGTTTGCCTTTTGGAAATGATGCAGTTACAGCAATGTTGTTTCCTCTTCAAAACCTCCGGCATACAATTCCCAAACTGTTTTCTGAAGGAATTTAAACAGCAATTTGGGATTTCTGTAGGGGAGTTTTTATTAAGACATTTCCAAATTCAGGTACAACCATGCGCCTCTCAGCTTTGACCATAATGCTAATGCTCCTTATGCTTAAAATAATCCCTCATTTAAGTTCTGGAGCTGTACATCAACACACCATTGATCAGGCACACTCAACTGCTAACCTACAGCGTAACATTTCATATGCTATATTCTATTGCACTTGTATATAATTGAATGAATAAATGACCCATCCTGAACATTATATGTAAGTAGCAATGCAAAAGTTGTAAATACAGCTTTATTTATTTATTACAGCTTTATTTATTTATTACATGTAATAAATAAAAAATTGATACATACGTTATACAAAAGCTCGAGAAGCAAGGTAAATCAAGCAAGTCAGGTTTTTATAATTTGGGAACATTTCAGTTGAGAAGCAGGATAATGTAGCACCACCACACTGCCTTCTTAAAGAATGAGAACTTCGAACAGCATGGATTTCAACACTTGCTGGTTGACTAACTCCTACCTAACAACAACAAAAGTGCAATGCTGCTCTGGATTTAGTCATACTTATTGCTAGTGCCAGTGTAAACCTTAAACTATGATTATGACCAGGGATAATAGATGAATGAGGAGGAGAGCTCCTGTGAGCAATTCCTGATCTAATAACCATAGTTAAGTGGTAGACAGCTTTACCTCTGCATCTATCCTAGTATTGGCATTGTTGTTGTTGCAATTTATTAACTGCCTTTCACTATGGGGTCCCAGGGTGGGCTACAGCAATTTAAAATACAATAATAAAAACAGAAAATTGGGTCCTAAATCATTTAAGGCTTGAATCACTAATGTGAGGAGCTTGAGCTGGGCCTGGAATTAACCTGGACAATCCGCAGCAAAGCCTAACATGAGAACTGGCCTTTCAAAATTATCTCAAGATTAGGTGTTCATGATCTGCACATTTCAGTCACAATCTGCAGTAAGCTGATTTTAATGACTAAATGGATTTCCTGTATTTATGTCCAGACAACCAGAGTGACAGTTTCTTACTCATTTGTCTATCTCCATAGCTGATGGCTTCAGCGAGAGGACTCCATCCCTGAGCATTTTTCACTTTCACAGGAGCATTGTGGGCCAAAAGCAGGTGGGCACATTCTATAACAAAGTATGAGACAATAATTATTTTCCAAATAAGACCATCAGATTGCTTCTCTGTGAAGAGCCACTTACAGTTTGACAAAAATACTGATGTAAACAAGTTTTGAACTTACTGAAGTTTGAGCAGCACATAAAATCAAGCTAACCAATGACCTATTTTGCATTTGAAACCATTTATGTAGCATTTGGTGCAAAGCAAAATCTATTGGGTGGTATCTTGACTAAGTCATACTCATGGCTAACGTTAAGTGAACGTGATTTCAGTGGGTCTGTTCTATGACTTAGGCTGCATTCTTAACTATGTCTAGTCCTATTGAATTCAATGGTGGTTACTCACAGGTTAAGTGGGGTTAGTCTTGCAGCCACAGCTAGATACAACCTAGTGTCTGAATTGTATCCAAATGATGTCTTTCCACTGACAGAAGTCTCTGATCCAATAGAGGCTTCCATCAGCAGGACAGGGAGGTAGACAGACTTTCAACAATTCCCAGAATCCCCTGAGCAGTGCCCCCATCGCACAATCTATTCCTGGGGGTTGGGAGAAAAGGTTAGAACCTGTGGTACTATGATGATTTAGTGATTTATACCTTTAGGAACTATTTTGATTGAGCAAGTCAATCAAAAATATTTAAGAGCAGTTTCACTCCCTATGTACAGTGGTGCCCCGCAAGACGAATACCTCGCAAGACGAAAAACTCGCTAGATGAAAGGGTTTTCCGTTTTTTGAGTTGTTCCGCAAGACGAATTTCCCTATGGGCTTGCTTTGCAAGATGAAACGTCTTGTGAGTTCTTGCAAGTTTGTTTCCTTTTTCTTAAAGCCGCTAATAGCCGCTAAGAGCCGCTAAGAGCCGTGCTTCGCAAGACGAAAAAACCACAAGACGAAGAGACTCACGGAACGGATTAATTTCGTCTTGCGAGGCACCACTGTATACACATATAAAAGGAACAGGAGATTAACAGGAAATGGTTCGTCTTGACTGCCATAGTGGAAACCTAACCTGAATCCACCGTAATTAAACAAAGTACATTGAGCTGATGGGATTGTTTGGCGCTGTATCTTAACAAGGCAAACCAAGGAGACCAGTGGAAAATGAGGAATGGAGACAACACTTATGGCTAACAGTTTTAAATTTATTGGGAATTACAAATAACTTTATATCCTATGCTACACTGCTATTCTACTTGAACAAGAAATAAAAGCTGCCTTTTTAAACAAAAAAGTAAACTCAAAACAATTTAAAATGAAACAAATATAAACCTAAAACAAAATGAAAGCCATGGTACACCTGCATCAGCACAATCAGACACTTTCAACTACCCAAACTAAAACAAAACATGCCTCTCCCATATTGATTTCCAATAGTCTGACTTCAGCCAGGTGGATGCCAAACAACATAAAAGGCAGTCAAACACATCCCACCCACCAAAGGAAGCCACAATATCTTAAAATAAGATGCTTTGGTGCCAAGACCAAATATGGGTGCAAAGGAGAGGAAGGAATCAAATAAACCTGAGCAGCACAAAAATCAACAAGAGGATGAGGTAGTGACATTGGCAAAAAAAAAAAAAAAAAGCACACACAATGCAAATCAGAGGAAAGATAACAGAGCATGTAGTATGAATCTTAAGGATCAGACTGAGAGGGTGAAAGCAGAAAGTGAGAGCTTCTCCCCAGCAGAAATGCTGAAAGAGTATTAGATTAGTAGGAAGAGTCAGAGAAACCTCAGGCATGAAGAGTGTCAGGCACAAGAGGGTAATCAGCAGTATCAAAAGCAGTAAAGTCAAGGATAAGTAGAGAAGGGATGACAAAGCAATTTTGCTGAGGACATTTGACAATAGGGTACTAAGTGCAGAATACAGACAGAGCTGAGCCTCATAGAGTAACCAGTTTGATCCTGGAGTCTGAGGGTAAAGGGTGGAAAGGAAATTAATGGAGAACAACCGCTTTCACAGTAAGGGAACAGCAGACGTTAAGTGGGAAAGCACCTGCAGTGTTCTTGTTTCTAGGATCTACTTATCCAAGAATCAATTCCCAGAGAATATCTGCTTTCAGTGTTGACGGTTATGACAGCAATGCCTTCAGGATAACAAATGAACTTTCCACTAAAATTACTTAACTGGCAAATGCAGGAATCTTTTTGCCCAATGTTCTTCTGACTGAGCTATCCCACAGGGTCTGAGTTACAAATTTCTAATAACCTGAGAATCTTCTATCCAACACCTATTTAATACTGAAAAGGCATTTCAGTAACTGGAGAGGCAGAGGGTTAGAAGCTTCCACATCTGCCAGCAATGTACACTGCATTATGTTGCACTGGTAGGACTTGAACAGAGAATGAAGGCACTTGTGCACCTGCTAGCAGCTATTTTATCCTCTCTGGAAAAGCCTCTCTCATAGTCCACAGTCCCCTGTTCTACAAAAGCTATGATATAGCCTTTGTTGATTTTAAAAGAGGGACCAGTTCCATTATATTTTCCATTATTTCCATTATTAATATTCTAGCTTTTAGGACCAATTATTATGACTAGCCTGGTTCCTAACTTGACTGGACCTGGAGAAAATGAAATGAAGGCAGCAGCCTTCATTATTTTTTTCTGAACTTTTTGCAGATAGTTCTGAACAGCATCTCATAGCTTCTCTGCCTACCATACTTGATTCCAATTTATTTGGAATTTTCTCTTAAGTCACTGCAAGACAAGCAAGGGGCAATACAGACCCTTTTCTCTGTGCCCCTTCTTGTCCCTCGCAATAAAGTAACAATGGTAAGGATTCAGGACTGGGCAAGGTAGACATGTGAAGGGAACTCCCCTCCCCATAACCTTCTGAGCAGCTCTTGCCATTCAGAAGCAAAGGGCACTGAAAAGCACAAGCATGACCATGCCCCCAGCTCACAGTAAAACAGCACTGGCTGCATTTTCACAAAGGGCTCTGTGAAAGAGATGTGTTTCTTCTTCATCTAACTGCAGTTCCCAACAGCCGCCGCCGCCGCCGCCACCACCATGATCTAGGGAAAGCTATGAGAAGGTGAATTCTCCCCTTGTTTGCTCTGTTATTCCCTTTTCCATGTTTTGAGAAATATGATCTGGAGGCTCTAGTTGCTACGTTTGATGCTGCATACATTTTTTAAAAAGCAAATATAAATGAAGTCTTACCAACCTTTATGCCCCAGCATCACAGCCAGATGTAAAGGAGTGTTTCCTATTTAAATGAATAAACAAACAAAGAAGATTTTAAATCAGTAATTAGACTGAATAAAACATCAAGTTTCACGCTGATAAATGGTCCTAATATCAATTATGAGTTAAATATAGCAAACCTACTATTGTCAATTTGACAATAAAGAATAAGCAGTGTTAAATCACATGACAATTCACTTTGATACATTATCTGTATTGGGTCAATCTTCAGTTTTACTCCTGGGCAATTAAGAGGACAGGAATAATTAAAGAATATTGGAAAGAAAAAGAAAGAAATCAAGTGACATTCCGTCACTCTAAATTAATTAAGGCCTGTAAAGTCTCCAATGTTATCAAAACTGACGGATGTAGGTCACTACACATAAGGGATATATTCTAATAAAAAATTAAACAGCATGTTTTATTTATTCATTGCATAGATCCAGTTTTACAGACAAGATATGTTATTAAAAGTACCTTAATGAAAACCAGAGAGCTTGAAGTCACTCAAAATACATAATTACTATAAAATATTACAGTAACAGCTTACAGTTATGTAAAAACAGAATTATGAGTATTGTACTGTTGCAATATACTTGAACAGAATTCACACTGGACAGAGAAATCAGCTGCTTCAGAACCTTAACTTTTATTTTTATGGCAGTTAAGAAATGCAATGGCTGGAAAAATCAAACAAGAATGAAAAGATAAGCAGGACGCTTATACCACCCTAAGGGTGGTATCCAACACTGCACTATGATGAACATGCCATCTGCACAAGCATTGTAGATTGCCAGACAGAATTGTCTCCCCACTTCTTCTCTGCATGCCGTTCTTGGGTTTCTGCTGGGTTGCACTGGGGGAGGAGAGGCGGGAAATCTCTATTTTACAAGTGATAGTCCTTGAGAAGGGATTCCATCAATGATCACATAAAATAACCTGCCCCCAGTTAATTATATCCATAATAATTGATGACAGCTTGTATCTGGGTTGCAAAGAGAGCTCTACCTCTCTTTCAGAACCAGTAAGACGCTGAAGGTCCTATGTGAGTATCTGGAGGATGGATGGCGGCTAACAGATTGAAGTTGAATCCTGACAAGACAGAAGTACTGTTTTGGGGTGACAGGAGGCAGGCAGGTGTGGAGGACTTCCTGGTCTTGAATAGGGTAACTGTGCCCCTGAAGGACCAGGTGCGTAGCCTGGGAGTCATTTTGGACTCACAGCTGTCCATGGAGGCGCAGGTCAATTCTGTGTCCAGGGCAGCTGTTTATCAGCTCCATCTGGTACGCAGGCTGAGACCCTACCTGCCCGCAGACTGTCCCGCCAGTGTGGTGCATGCTCTAGTTATCTCTCGCTTGGACTACTGCAATGCACTCTATGTGGGGCTACTTTTGAAGGTAACCAACTAATCCAGAATGCAGCATCTAGACTGGTGACTAGGAGCAGCTGTCGAGACCACATAACACTGGTACTGAAAGACCTACATTGGCTCCCAGTACGTTTCCAAGCACAATTCAAAGTGTTGGTGCTGACCTTTAAATCCCTAAACAGCCTCGGTCCAGTACACCTGAAGGAGCGTCTCCACTCCCATCGTTCTACCTGGACACTGAGGTCCAGTGCCGAGGGCCTTCTGGCAGGTCCCTCGCTGCGAGAAGCCAAGCTACAGGAAACCAGGCAGAGGGCCTTCTTGGTAGTGGCACCCGCCCTGTGGAACGCCCTCGCACCAGATGTCAAAGAGAAAAGCAACTACCAGACTTTTAGAAGACATCTGAAGGCAGCCGTATTTAGGGAAGCTTTTAATGTTTAATAGACAATATTTTGTTGGAAGCCGCCCTGAGTGGCTGGGGAAACCCAGATGGGCGGGGTATAAGTAATATATTATTATTATTATTATTATTATTATAGTAACACTTAATCAGAGCAATGGGTTAAAAAACCTTTTGATCAATTTAAAAAGTGCCGCTGATCAATCATCAGTTTATTAAAATATTGTCTACTTGTTCATACAAGTTATAAATGACAAGCAACATCTTAGAAGAGGCATTTCCCCTTCACTCACATAGGGCGGAATCTCTCTTCTGAAGTGAAACTCACTACAATAGTCATTTGCAACTGACACATTTAACTTACAGGATTTTGATTTTACGCAGTTGACAGCGAGCCAGTTGAATTTGCACAAATTAAATGCATGGAAGGCGAAGAGCTTAAACTTTTAAGTTCTCCGTCTTGCTTACCAGGTTCTGGGAGGCTCTGGGAAGATTTCACAGGAACACATGTGATCTTGCAAGAGCCACCCAGAGCCCAGTAAGCAAGGCAAAGAGCTTAAACGCTTTCTGCCTTGTTGAGGGGGGGGCAGAGTTTAAGACCCATTTGACACACCAACTCCAGAAAGTAAGAGTGCTAGCATGGGGGTGGTTCCAAGGGAGTGGTTTAACTACACATTTTTGCGCATACACACCACCCCTAGAATATAACCCTCTGTCTCTCTCTATATAACCCTTGCACAAGACGTGAGATGCTGTACATAAATAAGAACATATAAACACTTTTCTTTAAGACTATTTTTAGTAATACAGAAACATGCAGATTTAATTACTTGATGAAAATGTGCAATAGACTAAAAATCAGAAGCCAGTTTTTGCTGGAATATCATTGTGCACACAGCCTCAGCAGTGCTGATCTGTTTAACCTAGGGCACTGTTATAAACATTGCACATGCAGCTCTCTCTCTCTCTGTGGCTGTCAGATGCTCTAACACACACTAGTACAACAAGGCAGGTCAGATTCAACCCCATTAAGCCATCCTTGGTCTAACCAAAAGGTTAGTCTATTTGATTATGAAGCTTCCTGGGCTACAACCCAGTCTTTATTTTGTTCTGAAACTGTTTTTATTGTGAAGCTTTTGTTCTGAAGGGCAGGTTGAAGTTCATTACAACTCCAACAGATTATTTTTTGGCATCCTGGGGCATATTTTTCTGGGGAAATCTCTGAACAAGAAAATGCATACTTCCTGGTCTTCGTTGTAATACCAATTTGAGCTTTTTACCCAACAGAAAATCACCTTTGTGCATGCAACACTAATGTCTTACAACAAATGAAACTGATCTGTAGAAAACATAACTTGAAAAAAGAGACAATGCACGTATTTTTGTAAACTAGGAAATCTTTAATAAAAAGAAAGAAAATCACCTTTGTTTCCCTAGTCCAGGCATAGGCAAACTCACCCCTCCATCTGGTTTTGGGATACAACTCCAATCATCCCTAGCTAACAGGACCAGTGGTCAGGGATGATGGTAGTCCCAAAACATCTGAAGAGCTGAGTTTGCCTATGCCTGCCCTAGTCCCTGTGAGAAATGAGATATGACTGACCAAAGACCTCAAAATGCCAGGGTGCATTTGATGTAAAGGAATAGGTCCTAATCTATGTACTTTGTCCTCAGCTACAATTCAGCTGACTGGATAACCATCCATGACAGTGTAATTGGATGCTGCTAGTCAGACACAGAATTAATTGTGTTCTAATGAGGTTCCAATATTATTCTTGGAAATGGATCAAAGCTGTAGTTAATCACACAAAACCTATGCCTACCTTACCATCATGGTGTAAGAAAATGTGCCTATGAATGTGTCACTGCACTGATCTCGCTGGCAGTCTTAAAATGGCAGGGAGACAACCTATAACAGTGACAGAAGATAAGCCACCACAATACCAGTATTTGCCCTACTGAAGTAAATCGGGCTGGAACAGCAAGCAATCAAGAGGTTATAATATTGTATTACTAAACTAATATTGTGGATTTAAACTCAAAATTTGAGATAAATGAAAGTTAGTTTCCAATCTTAAATATAGCTTAGCTCCAAGACACACACTTTGCATTATGACAACTTTTCAACAGAAATGTGTTATTTAGCCACAAACTGAAATAAACAAATACAGAAAATGGTAGCTATGCCCATTTTTAAAATTAGTTTACAACTTAGTTCTTGCTCACTGGAAATCTTATAATTATTTGGACCAGTTTGAATTAATAATGCTCTATAATAAAAGGCTAATACCTCAATCCTACATCTACTCAGATGTAAATCCCATTGAATTTAGTGAGGCTTACTTTCAGGTAAGTGGATCTAGGACTGAACAATAAATATAACTCTTTCCATTAAGAAAATTCCAGTGGATTGATATGATGACATTTAGTAAATTACACAAAGTTCTACCAGATAAAAAGATCAAAGTAAAAATAACAAGAAGAATCTCAAAGACTCATAGCAACTTCTCATAGAAATAAATGCAACTAAAATTAACCATACCCTTTAGATCTAGTAGGTATTAAAAACTGGCTGAAGTTCAAATTCATGGCTGTAGGTAAAACTGTAGGTGGCATAACAATTATTCTCCTGGAAAATCAAACCACTGAGTAATAGTGACTAATTTCCAGAAAGGCAGTTTTCTATCTTCAGAAGAGAGATGTTCCTACCACGTGTGGGGAACCTCTGGCTTTCCAGATATTGCTGAACTATAAGTCCCATCATCTCTGGCCACTGGCCATGCTTGCTGGGGTTGGTGGGAGTTGTAGTTCAGAAACATTTAGAGAGCCAAAAGTTCCTCAACCTTGTTTTATATTAAGGTCCTTCCAATGGGCAGAGAGAGAAGAGATTGCATGTACTCCAATATAACTCAGAATGCACTGAATTCAACAGGTAGTACTTCCAAGGGTGCATCTGATCGCAGCAGAATAGCCTCCCCAAATAACACTATTTGCACATTGGGCATCTCTTAGTAAAGGAAGCATTTCTGCTAACAACTATGGTTGACTACAACTGTTTCAGATCAGAAAGTGTTCATTCCTACTTCAGAACTAACATGTTACTTCAAAGTATATTGTTATTAGAGTCACACAGGCCTGTATATGAATCAGAAGCATCACAAACAGGGGGGAAATAACCATGTCTGCACTTTTGATTGGTACATCCACTCTGAGAGAAAGGAGAGATCTTATACACATTAGCTGTTTTGTTTACATGAAAAATTAATTCCTCCGGTTCCGCCTTCAAAGGCAGGAAAATTGTATTCATTCGGATAGCCAATGACTAAGTGAGTCGTCAACCTTTACTCTAATTTCCACTGGATAAAATAAAAGCATAATATGTTTTTCAAGTTCAGGAAGTACACTGCCCCATCAGCATTCCTGTAGGCAATTTAGAAATCAACACAGGAGCCAATTCCTCTCTAAAGTGTGTTACACAAGCATACGTGTGCATATACACAGACACAGGTCTCATCAGTGTTTCTTATCACAATCCAAAACTGGGGTAGCAGTAGTTCTGTCACTTACTTCCTGCTTTTTAAAACACGCTTATTAACATCCCCACCCCCACCCGTCATTAGACAAGACGCTCCAGAAGCCTTTCTGAACTAAAGCTTCTTTACTGGGTCAGGATCGGTTTAGGGCATGAGATGCCCAAGCGTAAAAGCAGACACAGATGCCAAGGGATGTGAAGAGAGATCTCAGGTCGATCCGCATCTAGGTTAAGGTGATCACGGATAGAGAGGTTTAACCGGTAGCATGCCGTCCCCCGCCACTGCAGAAAAGATCGGGATGGGGAGATGCAGTGTCGAAAAAGACATAATAAGGGCGATGACCAGCGGAGGGGGGAACACAAGGCGCCTATAACGGGGGCGTTAGACACACAGCGCAATGGAAACAACACGGAGCTTGAGAGACCGGGCAGGAGGATGTCCTTAACTCCGGGGAGGCCCAGGGATGCTCGACCTTCCCCCAGGGTGGCCGGGCGAGCCCGGCCGCTTACCGTGGCTGTCCTTCTGGCCGATGCCCTGCGTGCGGATCAGAGCCGACAGCCGCCTGACGTCCCCCTTGAAGACGCACTCGTGCACGGGGAACTGCGCCGACGGGCCCTTGTCCGGCTCGACGGCGGCGGACCCGCCGGTTCCCCCCTTGAGCGGCAGCCGGTGGTGGTTGGTGGTGAAGATGCGGTTGCTCCCGGCGCGGCCGCTCTTGCCGCCCCCCGGCCGGCCCCCGGTGAAGGCTCCCCCGCCGCCGCTGCCTGGCGCGGCCGCCGCCTCTTCCTCTCCGGGCGCCAGCAGGTCCCCGTCCTCCTTGCTGGGCTTGTGGTCCCTGCGCAGCGAGCGCAGCTTCTCTCCGGTCATCGCCAGCGGCGGCCCCGGGCGCTGGGGGGCCCCGGCGGGGAGAAGCGGCGCCGCAGTCGCTGCCGCGGGGGGCTCGGCGAGCTCAGAGCCGCGGCGGAGGGTCTCTTCCGGGCTGCAGCATCCCCCCTTCCCGCCGCACACACTCGCCGCCCGCCGCCCAGGGACTCCCCGCAGGCCGAAGGGGCTCCGCGCTCCTTCCGAACCGCCTTCCACCTGCCGCTACTCTCAGCGGCTAGACCGAACCGCCATCTTGTCGGAGGGGTCTCGCGAGAGCGGAGCGGCTCCGCCGGGCGAGACCCAGGCGCTCTCGCGAGATGGTGACCTCCGGCGCCTGCCGTGGGAAGGAGGCGAGAGTCCCGGCGGGACGGACTGGGCTGTTCCGAAGGCGGGGTCGCTGCTCTGAGCGGCGAGGTGGGACGGGGGGTGCGGCGGTTCTGGCTGGCTCACCTGTGGCCGCCCAGGTGCTGCCAGACTCCCAGTCCCGGCCACGCGTATGCACGTGGAGTGCTGGTGGGAGCCGGAGCCCAGGAACACCTGGAGGCCTTGCAGGATGGCAGCCAACTCCACGGGCCGAGGTCCCTTTGCCCCGCCCCTAAAATATTTTAGGGCTCGTCCCCCCAAAAAATTAATCGCCATTGCCAATCAAATGATGTCCGTGTGTGCCGCATCTTGTGATCGATTATTCAAGTTGGCACCCCTGATTCTGCAGATGAGTCTCTCCCAGGAGAGGAAGGGCTTTTTTCCGTGGCACACTTTTCATGGTAGTGGGAGGCGTGCACGTGGCCGGTGGCAATGGAAACGGGTGCAGAGTGGGGCTGCGGAATAGAAGACAGGAAAGGCTTTAGAGTTGGGGTAGGGGAAAGTGAGCTTATTAGTCGCATGGGGTGGGAAGGGAGAAGCTCTGGCGGTTAGTGTTTGCGAGTGGAGTGATCCTCCTAGTTAATTCATCACTTCTTCTTTTCTTTAGGACCGCAGTACGAAACATACTGGGAAGAAAGCCTCATTATTTATTTATTTTTTACACCACCGTTTATCCGAGGATCACAGGGCGGTTTACAAATAAAAACACAGAAATGTGTAGCATTGGAACATACAAAAACAACAACACCCCCACCCCCGTTTAAAAGTCCTGGGAGAAGAGGAATGATCTCAATGATTTATTTACCTTTTAAATATGTAGATGTTAAGATTTCAAATGCTGTTATTCCTTGGGTTCCAAGAATCGTCCTTCAGTAAAACTTAATCCTGGTTTTGTTCATTTCTAATACATTTCAACTTTCCATTGTGTTTGAAATGGTCTATTCTTACTTGAAAAATGAAATTGGTTTATTTTATCCATGCTAACCTGGAAGTGGGATGCGGGTGACGCTGTGGGTTAAACCACAAAGCCTAGGACTTGCTGATTAGAAGGTCAGCGGTTCAAATCCCTGCAACAGGGTGAGCACCCGTTGCTCGTCCCTGCTCCTGCCAACCTAGCAGTTCGAAAGCACATCAAATTGCAAGTAGATAAATAGGTTCCGCTCCGACGGGAAGGTAAACGACGTTTCCGTGCGCTGCTCTGGTTCACCAGAAGCAGCTTAGTCATGCTGGCCACATGACCCGGAAGCTGTACGCCGGCTCCCTCGGCCGGTAAAGCAAGATGAGCGCCGCAGCCCCAGAGTCGGTCACAACTGGACCTATGGTCAGGGGTCCCTTTACCTTTACTTTAACCTGGAAGCACCACTTGTTTCAATGTAATTTTCTTCCATCAGGTTTGTAGCATCAGGTTGCAGTCTATACAAACTTACTTTCAATAAAGTCCACTGAAATAAATTGGACTTTTTGAGTATATATGTATCAAATCTGGTGGTTCTAAAAGGTAAAGGTACCCCTGCCCGTACGGGCCAGTCTTGACAGACTCTAGGGTTGTGCGCCCATCTCACTCAAGAGGCCGGGGGCCAGCACTGTCCGGAGACACTTCCGGGTCACGTGGCCAGCGTGACATCGCTGCTCTGGCGAGCCAGAGCCGCACACGGAAACGCCGTTTACCTTCCCGCTAGTAAGCGGTCCCTATTTATCTACTTGCACCCAGGGGTGCTTTCGAACTGCTAGGTTGGCAGGCGCTGGGACCGAACAACGGGAGCACACCCCGCCGCGGGGATTCGAACTGCCGACCTTTCGATTGGCAAGCCCTAGGCGCTGAGGCTTTTACCCACAGCGCCACCCGCGTCCCTGGTGGTTCTATTTTTATGTAAAAATCAACAAAAAATAGTATTGGATTGACATTTTCAAATTTCTCATTGCATTACTCAGAATGAGTTTTGAAACTACTACAATGCTGCATTTCCAGTTTATTATAGTGGGTCACAGGCAATATGAGTTCTGCAGTTTCCTGAGTCATACAAACACCAGGAGATTTAGAATGCTGACTCTGTGGCAGGTTGATGCATCCACTAGAAATATGAGTCAGCTGAGATAAAGAAGTTCACCTCAGAATAGTCAGAAACAAAACTTCACTTAGCACCTTGTCTGTAATTCATGGATGCTCATAACGCATTAAAGTATTTATTAATATCCCCCCATGCACATGGGAAGCAAATATTGTATTCAGATATACAGAAGCATAAGAAACTGCCTTATACAATTTCAAACCATTGATCCATCTACTGTTGTCTACACCAAGCACCCCCAAACTTAGCCCTCCAGATGTTTTGGGACTACAATTCCCATCAGCCCCTGACCACTGGTCCTGTTAGCTAGGGATGATGGGAGTTGTAGTCCAAAAAAACATCTGGAGGGCAGAGTTTGGGGATGCCTGGTCTACACTGACTGGCAGCAGCTCCCCAGGGTTTCAGATGGGGTCTCTCCCAGCCCTGCCGAAAGATGTCAGGAATTGAACCTTGGCCCTTCTGCATGCACAGGAGATGATATACTACTCAGCTATCCTGTTTACTGGTTTATGGAATCAAAGAGATGGAATCATTATGCCTGCTTTATATTTTCTTCCAGTTCTTCACCATGCTAAGACATAGGCCATGTGATACTTGGGGACTTAAGGGCTTCAAAGGCCTAAAGGTTTTTAGGATCATTCCAGAAAGCCAAATAACTCAACACAGATACCTAAGGATTGGCACTTAAAAAAAAACACCAGAAAACTCTACAGTGTTGTAAACCTCAGCTTCAGCTTCAAGCATTAGCAGGAGGCAATACTTCGCTCTGTGCTGCGAAAGCAACTTCTGATTTCTTGCCGACCAAGCTGCTGTTAAATGCACAGGAACAGGCCAGAGTTCTTTTCTGGTTAGTTGACAGCCTTACAGATGTTGAATCTCAGAGAAGTAGATTCGTTAAAAGGGTATGTTATTAATAGAATAAAAATTAATACAGCAAACAAACAAAAAAGCCTAGCAGCTCTTAACTCATTTTCAATTAGAACACACCTTGAATTCAGCTCAACAATGCTGAACCCCTGCATCTTTTTTTCCAGTATCCAGGTTAGATAAGTAGTAATTAATAAAAGCATACCTAAACACGTGCATAATGCCTTTCTCTTAGCACTTAGTAACCACAGCCATTCCTAACACATCTGAGGTTAGAGGAAAGGGATTTAATATCAGAGGCTGTTGCTTAAAGACGAAAAGTTTTCCAGCACTGCTCATTGTCATTTTAGAAATGAAGTGGTGAGCTGGACAGCACCCAATAGAGAACAGCTTGATCATGAACAAAGCCACTTTTTAGAACAACCCTGAAGCAAACTCACCTTATTCACTAAAGCTGCATCCATAACCAGGTCTACAGGATTTGAGTCCCTGTTTACAATACAAATATTGTTAATACAGTGGTACCTCAGGTTAAGTACTTAATTCATTCCAGAGGTCCGTTCTTAACCTGAAACTGTTCTTAACCTGAAGCACCACTTTAGCAAATGGGGCCTCCTGCTGCCGCCGCGCTGCCGGAGCACGATTTCTGTTCTCATCCTGAAGCAAAGTTCTTAACCTGAAGCACTATTTCTGGGTTAGTGGAGTCTGTAAACTGAAGCGTATGTAACCTGAGGTACCACTGTAGAAACAAGCTGGCTGAATTTGCCTCATGACGACGTACATAAATGTGTGTGACTGTTTGAAACAATGTAATCCCATTCTTTCTATCTTTTATAACTTTGTACTCCAAATGGCAAAATTGTACAGAGAAACAGCCCCACCCTAATCATGTTTACTTGGAAGTGAGTCACACCGGGGGGGGGGAGTGATTCACTTCCAAGTAAGTTTGGTTAGTATAAGAGCCAAAAAAAATTAAAGCACAATTCTATACATGTGTTCTTAACAGCATACATGAGTACAGTGGGGCATACCCCCAGGTAAGTGGGTATAAGATTGCAGTATGAAGGTTGTGTGTGTGTGGTAAATTGTCTCTTGTCATCATCAAATGACTGGCATGATTAGTGGTTGTGGGCATTGAACTCCCATGGTTCCTGCATTGCTGAAAGGCTCTAGAAAAGGGATGGGAAAGTTTTTTAAAACCAAGGGTTGCATTGCCTAAACTTTCCTGTGTTAATATCTACATGAAACTTTTGGGCATGGGCATTCTGGGATTTGGCGTGGATCAGTATTATATCCACTTCTCCTTTTCCATGTGAACCACATGAACCAATCTCCCTACGAAGCGCCTTCTATGGATCCTTAGAGTTTAGGATTGGAAATGAACTGGCCGAGGGTGAATAAACTGAAACTCGATCCAAGCAAGGAGTTGTTCTTAGACTGCAGCCCTAGAGTGGTGAAAATGCCTGTCTCAGATGGGCACATGCTGTTCCCCCAAAATATGGGATTTGTAGATTGGGATCCACTCATCCTTGATGGCTGGGCTAAGGCTTTGCCCAAGACCATGTTCTATCAACTTATCTGCAATAATAAACATGACTGCCATTTTAAGCATGCTTTGTTAGTGATCCCCACCAAATTGCTAGTGGGCTTCCTATTAGCCCCTGGCTGGCCACTATGACAACAGAATGCTGGACTTTATAGGCCTTTTGTGTAATGCAGCGGGACTCCTCTTATGATGATTGCCAGATTGCTTACTGCCCCTGGTTCATATTCCTTTTATCAGTAGATTACTCACATGCTGATTCCTGCAGTTCAGCCTCCTGTTAAGAACACAGGAGCAGGAGAGCAATTTTCCTCCCTATCTCTTGATATTTCAAAACCTTGCTACTGGGTAGTAAGTGCCATTGAACACATTTTGGAGCTATGATTAGAGGGGAAGTTGCAATTTTTAAGGAACTGAGACTTTAAAGCCTTGGAAAGTGTGGCTGTATGGCACTATAGTAAAAATAAATAAATCCCCATCTCCCCTCCCAACAACCAACACCACATCATTAGGCAATTTACAGAGGGGTAGCCATATTCATCTGTTGCAGCATAACCAGCCCCCCAAATAGGCTTGGATAGACCCATTGAATTCAATGGATATGCTAGGGTTGCCATATGTCCGGAAATTTCCAGACACAGCTGGTATTCAGCCCCCTAAAGCAGTGTCTGTGTGGAAATCACTGAAATGTCCAGGAAAATCCAGACATATGGCAACCCATGTCTGAAGTATAGATTTTGCCGAATTTCCTTAAAAGCAGCTCAAAAACTTCATTTTTTTCCAGATTTTGCAAAGAAAAAACAAAACAAAAAGCTCAATAACTTTTGGCAAAAAAAGTGCTCCACAACTTTTATGTCCAGATTTTCACTTTTTGAAATATGGCAACACTAGGATATGACCAGCGTAGGTCAGTGGCTCTGCTCTAGCCTACCTGGATATAACTAATATGAACAAACTGATAATAGCAGAAGCTTTTGAGAACTACAGTCTACATACATACATACATACATACAAGAGTGGTGGTGGTGGCGGCTAATTGTAAGCAGTGGGCTCAGAAGCAAAGGAAATGCAGAAAAATACATGGCGAGAAAAACATAGTTTATTTCCTTTGTTTCTAAGTCAAGTTTAAGAGTTAGCTACCTTCAGGCCTGGTCCCAGATTGGGGGTGTGGGGCTTAGTTGCTCCCCCAGCACTCTCCCTTGGCCACTCTGGCAGGTGCCGCTGCTGCAGCTGCCAACTCCCCACCTCCTGGCACCCTGAAACCGCTTGCAGCTTGTGAACTCGATTGGTGTTGGTGGCTATTTCAAAATAAAAAATGCCAGCACTGCATTTGCCCTTTTCTTTTTCTGGGGGGAGGGGGGAGAGAGACACGTGTTCAGAGAATTCAGGGAGGCAAAGGAGCAAAATCCTAGGGTCCGAGATCTCAATAAAATATTTGAGGGCGGCGGCCACCCCACCCCCAAAGTTGTTGGGCAATGCCATTCAAATAGTGTGCGTCTTCTGATCGGTTATGGGAATGGGGCTTACCTAGCCCCCCGCCCCCCAAATCTTTTATTCAAGTGGGGGGATGCTGCAGGGAGGACGGGCTGTTGTTATCTTTCGTCGAAGCTGCTTGGCTCGCTGCCGATGGCAGGCAGTGCACCTTCGCCTCGGGCCCCACGCCGCCCTCTCTGCTCCCCGACCCCGAGTCCACCCCGGTCGCGGCGCGACGCGCCTCCGCCAAGCGCCAATGAGGGGCCCCGGCCGGGCCAGCGCGTGGCGGGATAGGGCTGCCCCATCTCCACCCACCGCCAGGCGAGGCGACTCACTGGCCGGGCGGCTCGCCGGGGTGGAGCTTCGCCCGCCTTAAGGCAGCTGCCCCTGCCAGCCACAGGGAAGCCGGCGAGCCGCGCAGGAGAGAAAAGGCAAGTCTGACCCGAGATTGCACCAGCGCTCCTCCTCGCCCTCGCCCTCGGACGTGCTCGAGCCAGCGGCATCCGCAGCAGCGACCCCAGTTCACCCCGCGGAGCCAAGAGCCCAGCGCCGCCGCTCCTCCGACACCCAGGAAGGAAGGATCGCTTGCCGCCGAAATGGAGAACGCCAAGCAGAGGCACGCCGGTTTCCTGCCGCCCTTCAGGCACTTCGCCACGCAGGCCATCCACGCGGGGCAAGAGCCCGAACAATGGAAGTCCCTGGCCGTGGTGCCCCCCATCTCCCTCGCCACCACCTTCAAGCAGCAGGCGCCGGGGCAGCACAGCGTGAGTGAGGCGGATGGGGCAAGCAAGGCTTCAGAGCCGGGCATGGGGGGGAAAGGGCGGGACTTGGAGGGAGGGGGTCCTTCTCTGTCTTCACACAATCGTAGAATTGGAAGGGACCTAGTCCAATCCCCTGCGATGTAGGAATCTTTTTGCGCCACGTGGGGCTCGAACCCGGGACCTTGAGGCCAAGAGTCCCATGCGTCTACCGACTGAGCTGTTTGCTTTAGTTAGGGGCTCCCCTGACTTACAGTATATGCAACCTCACAACTCGCATCTTCTTTCTGCCAGCTCTCAGAAAACAGCGGGCCCCCTCCCCATCTAGTCAATCGACTCTTTCTGCCTGCCCCAAGCCACACACCTGTCTGTTCTGCTCAGATGGCTCTTCAGCTCATCCATAACTCCTTTCCTTCTCGCTCAATGCGCCTAACCAAGGCTGCAGCCCAAGCTATGTTTCCTCAGGAGTTAACTCCACAGACTACAACAGGGTAAGTGAGGTTAGGATTGTAGGCAAAGGCTGCGATCCTAAGGTTTTATGGCAAGTGGTAGAAACAGGTCTGCACAGAGGTAAATCCTGTGAGTTCGGTGGCACTTACTCTCTAGTAACTGTGTACATGATTGCAGCCCCTCTCTGTGTTCTAATTATCAAAACCACACACACACACACACACACACACACACACTTTATATATCTATATATCTCTAGATATAGATATATCTCAAATCCTAGCTTGCAGTTTATGAAGATTTTCAGTGTATGTCTGTTACTGATTCCTACATCAAAAAGGCTAACCCGTATTGGCTAAATTGTACATTTCATTATGATAATCCTCACTGAATTGTGAAAGTCCAGCAAAAGCACCTGTTGCCTATTTATGAGGCAAGAGGATGACACCGCCTCCTTTTTGATCATTTTGCCTTACCGCTTTGCATTTTGAGGGCCAAACAAGACAATCCTGTCTCTTGTTTTTCCGCAGAGCAGCTGCAGGTGTGTGATCATGATAAGGACTTTGGCTTGTGGGGAGGACTTTGTACCACATCCCTGGTGAAAATTGCTCTCCTCCACCTTCCTTCAAAGCCGTTGTGCTTTGTTGGATGGTTGGCACCAGTGGCAGCTTCCCTTCCGGGGGCAAAGAGCGGTTCTAGAGGGAGAGATTTTGATTGAGACGGTAATATCGGGGGTGAGGTTAACCCCAGTCCTAACCAGGTACACTCTGCTGCTAGTTTGAAACGCAAGAGACACGTGCATTTCAGTGTGAAATTAACAGACCTAACCTACTCTGAGAAGGACTGACTTTGGATACAACCTTCAATGTATCATTTAGCCTGACCACACTAAAACTTAGCGTGGAACCTGACGCTGGGTGAATGCAGGGGGAAAGGGGAATTGGCAAAAATTGCTTTGATCCCCTTCCATCAGTGAAAGTCATTTCTATGCTTGGAAGGAGCTCTTTCATTAACCAAAGGCCAGCTCATGATCCAAGCCAAAGTCTTCAGAAGTAGGCCTATGTCTTGCTTTCCCAGAAAGCCAACCTAAAGTGGCTTGTACACCTATGGAATTGATAGTGTTTGTTCACTTCGTTATTATAGAGAATCTAGATAGCATCTTTGCATTCTAGTGTTTTCCCTAGTCTATCTTTAAAAAAACCAACCCATTCTGTAGCAATGCATGTCCAAATGTGGACTGGTACAGATAGCATTGTTGACACAGCTGGCAGGAGAAGTGACCTGTGCTGTTCCACTTGTCTGAATTATCTGTCCCACACCTGTCTCATAAAGGTTGAAATTCTGTAATTTAGCTATTCCGAAGAGGCAGCAGTGAACTGAATAGGACTGGATTCAGCCCCTTCTTTTCCATTTCCCCACCAAGGTTGATGGACAGAATCTTAATCTTGCCCTGTTGGATGGTTCCTTCCTCCATTACTTTTCCACACCTTTTTTCTTAATTTGACTCCTCCAAGTACAAGTGAGCAAATGTTTAACCTTTTTAAAAACAACTTGGAATTGCTGGCAAAATAATGCACTGTCCATTTTTGCCTTTGTCACATAGACAGACATGCTAGAATTCAAATGGATAGTATATTATTAAGTGTCATGTGGAACCTCAGATATATTTTGGCTTTATATGATTATGGAAGAGCAAGATGCTCATGTGGAAGGGGGCTACAAAGAGAGGGTGCGCGTGTGTACGCAAACAAGCAATGGAACTCCAGATAGTACAGATGCAACACATTTCCTATTTCAGTCACCAATGACAGTTCTGTGTATAAAGTACATACTGATTTCCTCTTTCTTTCCTTTTTTGCCCTTTAGGGTTTTATTTGCTTTCTTTCAAGCCCATTTTGTTCTTCTAGGTATGGCAAATTTGGCATGCTATTTGAAAACGTTTTAAAAGCAGATCCCTGATTTAGTTTTGCCCAACACATTCAATCCATGTTGAATTTCTGGATTATCATCCTAGTTGGGTTGCAAAAAAAAGCTGACTCATTTTTAACTCTGCAGATTCTTGTGGGCGGGGCCGAACAAACTTGCCTTGCTACCCTGTCCTCTGCATGACACAAGACGATATGGAAATTGCATAAGCAAGCCGGCAGCTTTCCAGAGTATTGCATTACTCATTATGTATCTTGGGTTGAAAAAAACCTGTGTGTTTTAAAAGCAATGAAACGCCACGTTTCATAAAACCAACAAAGAGTCTCATGACATCTTAAAAGACTAAGTGGTTCATTTTAGCATAGTCTTTAATATGCTACAGAACTCTTAGTCCATTGTAGCAAAAACAGGTATTCTTCTGTATATTCAGTAAGATACTTAATACTTTACTAGTTGACGTACAAGAGTTTAGCCAGGCAGGAAGAGTTAAAGTACAAAACCACAGGCGGAAAATATGTACATGACGTTCTGTTCAGAATAATTTGTTTCACTAGAAAGCATTGTTTTCTCCTCCACTCCAAGGCTGGCCAGCTTGGATTCCTAATTTGTCATTTTTCCAGCAAATATATTCAGACTTTCAAGTAATCAATGCTAAAGCAAGAAGGCACTGTAACTATAATACAGTTGCACCTCAGTCCAAGAACAGTCCTGTTAATGAACAATTCAGGCAACGCACTCTGCAAAACTGGAAGTAGGTGTTCTGGGTAGTGAAATTTGTCCCGGAAGACGAACGGAAGCCGACCGGTGGAAGGGCACCGGCAGCGGGAAGCCTCATTGGGGAAAGTGTGCCTCGGTTTAAGAACATTTCCGGTGTAAGAACGGGCTTCCGGAATGAATTAAGTTAGTAATCGGAGGTACCACTGTATATATATGGCTATAATGCAACAAAGCAACACAATGTGCATGTGTGAAGATTGGCCATGGAGCCAGAGAATTCCATTGAAGTGCTGCTGCTGCAGCCATTCCTGTAGCCAGTGAAGGAAGCTGGCTGTGGTAAAAAACTCTGAAGATGATTCAGTTGCCTGTGGTTTTTGGCTGCTCTTGCAGTTCTCACCTACCTGCATTTCGTGACCCTGCCAAGGAAACAAATTCGTATGAAATTCATAAGTTATTTTAGTTTTATAATTAGTGGACAGAAAAGGAGGCAATTGAACATTAAGGTCATTGGTTCTGCTCCTGCTCCTATGTTAAAATCCTCCAGATGTCAGTCTACATATCCCATTATCAGCTGGAGGTGATGGAAGCTGGAATCCCAACAACATCTGGAGTTCCTCATCCTTGCTCCGAAGAGAATGGATCTGCTTGGCTTGTGTGATAACCTGGAAGACAAACTGCTTCCCTGGCAGTTTCACTTATGCCGCATTTAGAAAGCTTCCCCTGAGCTCCATATATCCCCTACCAGTCACATAACTCTGACTTGCAGTCTAGGTCTTGTTTCAGTTCCCCATTCCAAGACCTCCGGTCCTCTCTAGGAACACGGAAAGCTGCCTTCTACTGGGCCAGTCTGTCTAGCTCAGTTTTGCCTACCCTGACTGGCAAGCTCTCTGGGATTTCAGATGGAGACCGTTCCCAGCCTATGCTGGAAATCAAACCTTGGACTTTTGTGCAATGCAAAGTCCAAGGCTACAGTTATTATAGCATTAATTGCAGGGCCTGCAAGGTGCCTTACAAAAGACAGGAGATTCAGCCTTGGGCCTTGTTTTGCATCAAGGTGTGTTTTCTGCATTCTCTTCCTCCTGTATCCTCATCCTTCTCCTTTCTCTAGTCCCCCCCCCCATTTTATACCTGCAAGAGAATTGTGCTTTTTCAAATAAATCCTCTGCTAATGTTCCGAAGAGCAAACATTTCAAATGAGCCTTGCCATGGGAAATGCAGGTCTTATAAATTGTCAGACTGTCACGTGCTGCTTCCACAACCTGTCTTTGAGCCAAATGATTGTTTGATTTTGCTTTCATCCCAGCTGTCTGCCAGCTGTATGGAAATTTCTTTTGGGAGAAAACTCAAGTGGCCCAGATACAAAGAAGGACTGGGGGCTTCTGTACCTTTAGTTGTTGTTTAGAACTGTTTAAAGGTGCAGGAGCCCTGGGACTTGCAACTTGACTGTGTTGAAACATTAGATTGCAAGATTTAATCTGTTTTCATGATTTGACTTTCATATAACATTTTTTTTTCAAGGAAGATGGTAATAAAGGCAAATGGAAGGAAATATATAGAAACATTTTCAGGATTTCACAACAAAGAAATCTAAGAGGCCGCTTCCTTTCTCTTTTGATTTTTTTTTATAAAAGTGGAAACAGAATTCCTAATTTCATCCTCAGTAGGAGATTCAGTATTTGTTTGGCCAAACTGCAGGTGCACATTATAAATAATTTGATCTCTCATAATTTGATCAACTATTGATGTATATTTACCTTATTTCATTTTATTTTTGTTCTCTTTCATAGGGCTTTGAATATAGCCGCTGTGGAAATCCAACCCGCGATTGCATGGAAAAGGCTGTGGCAGCACTGGATGGTGCCAAGTATTGTAAGCTGTCAATATTTTCATTACAAAAAAATGATGATTGTCTTTGGCTAACAGTACACATAAGGTGCAACAGTAGTGTCTTGGAAAAGAGTCAAAAAGGGAAGCTATTGGTTTTTTGTTAGCTCTGATACTGGTATCATGCTATGCAACAATGCAGCTATATCTTTGTATTTTATCTATTTCAAACCTGGATAAATTACTTTTGGCCACGTTATTAAGGCATTTCCTAATCCACATTTTCAGGTGTGGAATGCTTAGAGTTTGAAACGGCACATAACGTAAATGTCCACAATCATCTCCATAATGTAGTGGTTTTTTTCTAGATTCTTGGAATTATGGGTAACTTTAATGGTTCTAGATAAAATTGTTGTTACCTATTGTGTCAAAGCCCCATATCTAATCCTACGTAGTGTGTGTGTGTGTGTACACACACACACACACACACACATTAAGGTATTCACAGTAAGCTCTCCTTTGAAAGCGAGTTAAGTGTTCAGAGACACACACCTGCCACAAAGCTGAAATATATTGAAGAATTCATTTGTTCACTTGTCAGATGTTCTTTGTTTATTTCCTTTTCCCGTTAGGTTTATCCTATGCGTCTGGGTTAGCAGCTACGGTGAACATTGCACACTTGCTGAAGGCAGGAGATACTGTTGTTTGCACAGACGATGTCTATGGGGGTGAGTGCTGTACTTGCATATGGCAGGTCTTAACTGTCCTAGATGTAATCTCAGGGTTGTAATCCAGAAGCGTTTCAAAGATCATTAACCTGAGCCTGCACACTTAGGTCTTTCACTTCAGCACTGAGGATGGCTTGAAAGTCAGCAGTTATAACAGGTCAGACACCACAGGTGTGACTTATTATCTTAATTAATACTTCTTAGACAGAGCCAGTTGACACATCCGGCAGTGAGGCACTAACTGGTGTTCACACATTTGTGATTTAGCCCTCAGTCACATGCCAAATAAAACTTCCATTATGGACCCATCATAAGCCTTGCTACTGTTTCCTGGGCATAATAATAGTTTTATTCCTGGGCATAATAATAGCACTAACTAGTCCTCTGTTACACATGGATTTGATGCACCTATCCTGCCCTTGAAATTAATAGATTTTTGTGCTCTTTCTTTAGTTTTCCAAAATCTTTAGATTGGTGTTCTTTCACGCAATACGTTGGTTCATCATTAGTTGATCTGAACTTGCTAAGAAGCTTTTTGCTTTTTTAAAAACACTTTTTAAAAATTCAAACCTATGCCCTATTGGATTTTATTTTCTACATTGTCCATTTTGCAAAGTATGGCTTGCACCATCCTTTCCCAAACTAGTACCCTTCATATGTTTTTTGGACTGCAGTTCCCATCATCCCTGACCATTGCCAGTGCTGGCTGGGGCTGATGGGAACTGGAGTCCAAAATATCTAGAAGCCACCAAGTTGGGTTTGGCCGACTTTAGATGCTATTGTAGCATACAACCCTGAATCTGTCTCTCTTCCTTCAGCTCCCAATACCAGGTTCCTTGACTTCCACCTGACGCGGAGTTCTCAACCCCAGTTGTCCTGGGACACAGTGGGCTACATTACACTTTTAGATGTTGTCCCATGTAGGTGTGTCCAGGAATTGGATCAGCTCTAGCGAGTTGCCTACCATTATTTGCATTATAAGTTATAAACCACTGATAATTACTGATTTTCACCTAAGACAGTGTTTTCCCTTTGAAATAAAGTGGTGTCACTGATGTGTGTTAGGATAATGTGAATAATGCTTTAATGTGGCTAAGGTAAATGTAAAGGGACCCCTGACCATTAGGTCCAGTTGCGGACGACTCTGGGGTTGCGGCGCTCATCTCGTTCTATAGGCTGAGGAGCCGGCGTTTGTCCGCAGACAGCTTCCGGGTCATGTGGCCAGCATGACTAAAGCTGCTTGTGGCGAACCAGAGCAACGCATGGAAACGCCGTTTACCTTCCCACCGGAGCGGTGCCTATTTATCTACTTGTACTTTGACGTGCTTTCAAACTGCTAGGTGGGCAGGATCTAGGACAGAGTAACAGGAGCTCACCCCGTCACAGGGATTTGAACCACCGACCTTCTGATCAGCAAGCCCTAGGCTCAGTGGTTGTCACGAGGTTTTCCTCTGCTGAACTTTAACACATACTCTTGGATTAACTGGGGGGGGGGGCGAGGAAGATGGTGCTGGGTCAAGTCTCAACTGAGTCTCTGCAGCGTGAGTAGGAGCTCTAATGAAAATATCTGCCAACTTTTATCAGTAAAAGACTCCGGGAGCCGTCGGGTGGACTTTTAAACCTCCCCTCCCTTTCAAAGCTACTTAAATCAACTTTGAACCACCTCCCTTGAAAAGCCCATAAAGCTGTGGGCTGGATAAAATAGCCCTATTTATTTCCAAGTACGAAGATGGTACTTACAAGACACATACTCTTTAAAAAACAAATACCTCGTAGGCAATAAGTAGGAGTTGCAGGCGTTTACTGTATGATTTCACTGGGTGAAAGGTGGAAATTCCTTACCCAGAATCTCTGTGCTGTTGACTGTGCAGCTACTGGTGCATCAACTTTCTGGGAGGACAGCCAAAGATAGCTTTAGGGGTAAGCAAAACAGGTATCCATTTACCATAACTAAAAGCGAGGGGTAATCTAGGAATGATTCTCCTTGTGACTGGGCCTCTCACATAGCAGTACGAGCAGAGAAACATGTTTTCCACAAAAGCAGAAGAGGGCTTGGCTAGATCAATACCACCAGCCAAATGTTTCCTTCTGTCATTTGATATCTGTGATTGTGCCAGTTTTATTCCTAGGAGCAATTATAAGTCAAATAGGGTAGGACTGAAGTCTAGCATGATAACAGGAAGGGGGATTTATGTAACCTCTACCACTTCCAAATTATCTGTTAAGCAAATTTGTTAGCTTGGGAAACAAATATTCTTTCTAGGAATACTTAATGAAATCTAGAAGACAGGCAAAGTAGAGAAGCCGACGTACTTTGTTTCGACCAGTGTGGCTTGATAAAAGGATTCAATCCACGTTTGTAATGTTTGCTGAACTTTCAGAAAAGAAGAGATGCACGTTGCAACCCTAAGCATTTCACCAAGGAATTAATCCTGGCGAGAGTTATTCCTTGATTTATTTGATGAAGAGGCCACCTTAGAACAGAAAGCGCTATTTACACATCTATTTTTGAGACCAAAAGGCAGGCTGCAGACATATTAATAACAAAAATATTTAGGATTGGGCTGTAAATCTGCTTACTTTGGAAGTGAGACCCTTGGAAACCAGTGGGGCTTGCTGTCGATGCTACTCTGGACACAGCTGTCGTTAAATGTCCTACCTTGTGTTGGTCCTTCTCTTTGTTCTGGTTTCCATTGCTTTCACCTTTAATTAATTAAATGTGGGTCTTTTCAAATCCTAGGTACCAATAGGTATTTCCGGAGCATAGCATCAGAGATGGGCCTGAAAACTATTTTTGTTGACTGCACCAAACTGGAAAACCTCAAGGCTGCAATTACACCAGAGACCAAGGTAACAGAGGAATGCTCATAAAACAGTGTTTGCAACATGCCTGGGATGACTTTATTATATCAAGCCTCCTCGGTTTACAAGGGCCTGGGAGGTTTGGCAGTGGCTGCAGATGTGTAGGAGAGGGAAATATTAAAGTGATAATACTACAGATCACTTATATACTGACAGTGTTGGAGCAAACTCTTCTTTGCTTTAAGAGGCAAACACAACTGTATATCATGTAGCTGTCACTCCTGATCTCTGGCAAGTGCCTGGTGGGCATTTGCCAATGTAAGCAGGAATGGTGTAAGTAATATGAAGATTATTTTTTGAAAACATTATTGGGTATGATAGGAATTGGGGCAGGATCATTTGGATCTTTGTATCCCCTCATGACAGCTTGGGTGATTGCCATTGGAATTCATCTGATGAACAAAACATGCATGATTGGATCCTCAGTTTTGGCAACAACAAGATGGTCACTGGATACAACCCAGGGAGTTTTCTGGGTTGGTTCCAGACACTTGAGGCTAGCACAGCTCACATCCAAATGGCTGCAAGTGAAATTGAAAAGCAGGTTTGATGCCCAGGATTTAAAGTCTGGCAGTTATTTCCATGGAGCCATTGCGATTAATCAATATGGAATAGTGAATGTGCCACAACAACAGAAAAATCTGTTCAGTGGTGGGGTGGGTGGGTGTGCACACACGCATGAGTGTGTAAGCAAAAGACAAGCTCAGATTCTAACGCATGTGATAGCCTTTCCGTTCAGTGTTTCCTTGAAACATAGAAGAGAAAGGCAAGTTATTGGTGATATCAACAAAATCATATACACATGTGTATCATTTCATAACTTTTACTGTCTGTCTTCTCAAAATAAACAGCTTGTCTGGATTGAAACTCCTTCAAATCCAACGCTGAAAGTTGTTGATATTCAAGGTTGCGCTGACATTGTCCATAAGCATAAAGGCGTTATTCTTGCGGTAGACAATACTTTCATGTCTGCATACTTCCAGGTAAGTTGATTACCCAGTGCTGTCCCAGAAGTGCTTCATGCATATAGTAATTTTTTCCTTCTCAAAAACGGTGTCACAGGAGGGAACTAGCAGTGATGAACTCTTCTGTGTTAAAGTGACTGGCTCTGGTGCTGAATTTTGGATATGTGGTTGACTTTTCCAGGGTGTGTAGGCACTTAATGGCTCTTCCACATAACATGATACAGCATGAGACCACATTTTCTGGCACGTAAACCTGCTCAACAGGGGACACAAAGTTAATCTGGTAGATAGAGGGATATGTTTCTTGTTTTCTAGAGCAAGCTGTGGCATAGTTCTGTGCATGTTTACTCAGACGTAAGCCCCACTGTGTTCAGTGAGATTTACACCCAAGCAAATGTATTTTGGATTGCAGCCCTTCCATTCCCTTGTCACTGATCTGGTAATAAGATGTGTGGAAGGTGGGGTGGAAATTCCGTAATTTTATGTGGAGTATTGGCTTTTTATTGATGATCCACTGATCTTTCGTTTCTTTAACGGAATAACATATTTTTCCTGTTCTTAGTAGATGAATACTCCTTTCAAAGCGATAAACCAATTTTATATTTTATCTGTTAATACAGATAAATAGCTAACCTTCAAGGAGCTCCAGTTAGGCTTACATGGTTCTCTGCCTCTCCTTGTTAGTTTCACAACAATCCCGTGAATTAGCTTAGTAAGAGACTGTGGTTAGACCTGAGTGCACTTAGTAGCTAAGTGGGGATTTTAAACCTGGTTTTCCAGGTCCTAGTCAAGAACTCTAACCACAACACCACACTAGCTACCCTTGAAGTTATCTTCAAATTAGCCATGTGCTGGAGTTCTTGTCTCCCATCTGTATCAGATCTCCCTCCCCCTCTTGCTGTATATAAGAATCTATTGAGGAAGTGAAGGTGTCCAGTTACCAGCCTAGCTAACATTTCTTCTGTTGCTATAGTGCATTGCACTGGTATCTCTGTAGTGTTATATGGCAGGTATTAATAAGTAATGGCTTTAGCAATTCAATGGCCCCCAGAGTTGCTGTGTCAACAACTAGACCTGTGGTGTGGAATATTCAACATACTGGGCCAACTGCATAGTGAAATGCTGGAGACTGCTGCCGCACGCACTGCAAGGACTTCACAGCACAAAGAGAAAATGTTTCAGCTCACTAGCTTCAAAAGCAACAGAAAGGTCATTGCTAGTACATTAAGCCAAGTTCATGCAGTGTTTCTGTTACTGGTTTTGAGAAGTTGCAAAGCGTTCCTAGTTCAACAAGTATTGGACTAACATGTTCCTTTTAAATTTTAATTTATACCTTGTGCATGAGGTCCAGCAACCACGATCAAAAGATAAATAAAACAACAATAACCTAGATATTGACCTAGCCATCTAACCATATAGTTTAGCACCACTAATGTAAAGCCACTAATAACACAAAATTATCCACAAGAAAGGAGAAACTGGTATGATAGAGTAAGAGGGAGAAAACGTTATCGATTTAAGAAAAAAAACGAAGCAAACATCTCTTTGATTCATTAACTTAACAATAATACTGGTTTTTTTAAACAGTTGTATATGGTTGCACGTGATTGTGTACTTTTAATTCAAATACATGCCAAACATGCACCATATTTCTATAAAGGTACCAACCTTCTGTCTTCCTTCCCTTACCTAAGTTAGTGAACCTGATCATACACAGGTCACCCCAAATTCCTGATAGCTGTTGAAAACCTATTTGTATTTTCAGGCCTGCTTCCAGGTTGGTTGAGGGCCTCAGGTTTGGAAGGGCCCCTTGAGCTGCATTAGAGGCAATGGCACTTACTTCTGAGTAAGCATGCCCAGGAATTGCACCGGGAAGAAAGAAAATACAGGGTTTAACTATGAAGGCGCAGAGTCTGTAATTTAGTAACCTATTTGAAAACCGGGAAGAGCTGTCATGGTTAATAATAATAAAGCTACACTGAGAAAATACAAGGGTGGTAAAATTGAAGGCCTTTATTCTATGGAATTAGAAGCCTGATGATGACGTGGGTCTATAATCTAGCCCCATTCTCCTTTACTAATCCTCCATGACCAAACATTCCAAATAGATTAGCTGACATAATAGAGCGAAACATTGTCCAATTGTCCAATTTCCAGTGTGCCAGAAGCAGAGGATAGAAAAGAAGAGATGCTATGACAGTTACAGTATTTCTTGGGGAAGAATGCAATTTATTATTATTATTATTTATTTAGGTCAGACCCTAATGGTTGGCTAAAACCAGTTGTTCCACATTCATTCCCTATGAGAATTTAGGGCAAAGAGAGAAAGAATACTCGCAAGAAGATACTTTAGCGTTAGTCATCTTGCTTAAGAAACCCATATCCAGTTATGTAGTTCCCAGTGAACAGGGATATGCAGTGTAAAATTCCTACAGCTTCTGTTTACAGATAATAAAGCAGTACTTTTTAGTTCTGAATCCATGTGTTTATTTTGTTGTTTCAGCGTCCTTTATCTTTAGGAGCAGACATCTGTATGTACTCGGCAACCAAGTACATGAATGGTAAGTGCCCGAGTGTTGTTGCAGAAAACTTCCATGTTATATTGATATTTACCAATCTGACATTACAAACAGTCAAGGCTACCAGACCTAAAAGGCATTCTGTTGTTTCTTTCTACTTTCAAGTTTTTATTTTCTTCATGCCACTCTGAGGGGGGTGGGAAGGTTGATTTATAGTAGTGCCCATAATGCATCTGCCCATCTTCTAAACACAGTAGATGTACACAATGGTTATTGTCTAGACTGGTTTCCCTTCTGAGGACTTTGTTTGATGTTGGTTTAACAACTCCACAAGGCAATATTGAATATATACTTGCTGAACAAGGAGCTCTTTCGTTTGAAGTCTTTCTGCATTTTCATTCTTGCCCTGGGGTAGAAAATCTTCCTCAAATGTTTGAAAAACTCATTGTGTCCAACTAAAAATTGCACTGTACAGGTCTGAAAGGAATCGTTTTGAGGTGCTGAGGGGCTTTGCCACTGAGCATTAGGGTCCTAGCTGGTGCAAGCCTCTTACCAAAGTACTCACCATCAAGGTTGCAAAGGCAGCACAGGGATAATCAGTTTTTGGCTTCAAAATAATCCACTCAAGGAAGATGGTACTACTAAGAAGAAATGGGGTGTCATGTTTTGCAACAGAAATGCCCTCTCAAGAAAAGGCTGCCTCGAACCCTCACCACTGCCAATTAGGTTTCAGAAAAAGGCATTTCCTCACTTCTAAGATTGAACTGCTAATGTAAGCATTTTTAAAGCTTAGCCCATTTTCATTTGAATGGGCTGTTGTTTTTTAGTTTCTTTTTTGTGTTTGCTTTATGGTTTTTTATCATGTAAAAGGTGCTGTAGTTTCTAACCATGTGGTTAAATGCCTTGTGGGCATAGATCTATGTTGACATGAAGGCTATAAATTGGGTATAATTAATTACACAGGAAGCACGTACAATGAAAGCAGAGGAAACAGCTACAATTTTATGTCTGACTTCTCTACTTAAAGAGGGCTAATTTGCCATTTTTCATCTGCCTCCTTGTTTCTTCAGGTCACAGTGATGTTGTAATGGGACTGGTTTCTGTCAATGATGATAATCTCCATGAGAGGCTCAGATTTTTACAATATTGTGAGTACTCAGAAAGATGTGATGAATGTAGGTTTCTGATACCTGCTTACTTAAATTCAGAACTGCATTTCTGCGGTAGTCATTTGTTTTACACACGTTTATCTGACTTATTGAACTGCATTTTTGTGGTTTTACATAGTGCATTTGTTTTACGCATGTTTATCTGTCTTATTGTCAAAAAGCCTCCCACAAAAATAGATTTTGTGCAGCCTTTTCTACCACCCCACTTTCCTTGGGAGCAAAGAGATTCATTCTGACACCATAAACCAGTTGGCTCTCATGGGAAATTTGAAGCTGCAGTGCTGAAGTCATGTTTCAGGCCTTACTAAGGCCTTCAGTGGCCATACATGAATTAAGACTGAGCTGGTGTGTTTCCTCACTTGAGGCCTCTGACTAAAATCTACAGCTTGAGCTGGAACAGTTGGTGCCTGAGATGCAAGTGCTGCTGCTGTCTAGTCCATTATCTATCAGGCCTGCCCAAGCCTGAAGGTTCATGCTTCCTGTTAAATGGAGGGCCTGTAGTTGTATATCACTCACTGTAGTGGACAGATTGTTTAATTTGGGCCCTGGAAATCTAGATCAGAATCTCACAAAATCTTAAAGCTCACTGGCTACCTCTCAATTTAACCTTTCTCAGAGTTGCTGTAAGGATGCATACATTACCTCAAGGGCCTTGGAAAAGCAATGTGATAAAAAATATAATATCATTGTTTCCTTCTTTGCCTGGAGAGGATTCAAAGACCTAAATTAAAAACCACATCATTTTGCTAGGCAAGGTCTCAGTTCCTGAATTTGAGGTTCCTGTTTCAAAACTCAGAAGCCTTAATAGCTGCAACGCCACCTGAATGCTATATTTTAACTTTTTGATTAAAACTCTGTTGGGGTTTGGGCTTCTGTTCTGAACATATGTCAATCCTTTGATGAGCCAGCAGTATTGTCTTGCTGAGTTCCTCCTTATACTTTTCCCCAATGGGGCTGAAAAGCCTATTCAGCAATAAAGCCATTAGCAAGGAGGGTTATCTCTGCGTTTCTTTATTCCCTTTTCCAGCTCTTGGAGCAGTTCCATCAGCTTTTGACTGCTACCTTTGCAACCGGGGTTTAAAGACATTGCAAATCCGCATGAAACAACATTTCCACAATGCGCTGACGATTGCCAAATACCTTGAGTCAGATCCAAGAGTTGAGAAAGTCCTCTTCCCTGGTAAGAACCTGGCAGGGGATATAAGCTCTTGCAAAAAAGTGCCGCTGGCTGTAATTGGAGCGAGGAGAGAAGCAAAAGAATCTGCATGACTAAGTGGACTCTTCCAGCCCAGTAACTCTGAAGACTCAAATGACTGATAAAGGGTGGAAACAATAAGTGCTTGTGAATGACTTGTTCCATATCTGCCTAGGGCACAGTTTGTTATTTGAATTTCCCTGCCATGCTCTCACTTTCTTCCTCTCTCACATATGTTCACCACACATTCACAATCTTTACATGGTTCAGTTGGCTTATTTCTTTACACACACTCATCCCAGGCAAGCCATTCAAAATCCTAGTCTTCTCATGCATTATCCTTTTGTAAAGCTTAAACACATGTAGAAGATGGAGAGATATTGAACTGTTGGCCCAGCCCCTGATGTCCCTTGTGGCTCCCACGACCTCTGTGGACACCTGGAAAGGGGTGGCAGCTGTCCCTTGGAATATGTAGCCATCATGGGATCAGGGGTTGTAATAGCAGGTCATTGCTCCACCTTATGGAAGTGAACCTTGCAGAGAGACTTGTGTAATGCTGTTTATATAACTTTTGTAACCACAATTCTTTTATTTTTGACAAACAGCATTTTCAAACTTAACTTGCTTTGAACCATAGCAATGATCAAAGTACATTTTATGCCTTGGTATAGCAACTTCATATTTTAATAGATTGTGTGTGTTTGAAAGTAACGATAACCTAAATCCGGATGCTTTGAATAACTCATTTCAGGATTGCCGTCACACCCGCAGTACGAGCTGATGCAACGCCAGTGCACAGGCTGCCCAGGAATGATCTCCTTTTACATTAAAGGAAACCTTGAAAATGCCTCCACATTTCTCAAAAACTTAAAGGTAAGAAAGAGGCCTGATTTGCATTGCTTTTGAAAGAGGAACGCTCCCTGCCCCTCCCTTGTCAGGATATGGATGCTGTAAAAGACTTCGCAATATGCTTCTTCCCTTAAAGCGTCTCCACCCCCATTGTTCTACCCGGACACTGAGGTCCAGCACCGAGGGCCTTCTGGCGGTTCCCTCATTGCAAGAAGCCAAGTTACAGGGAACCAGGCAGAGGGCCTTCTCGGTAGTGGCGCCCTCCCTGTGGAACACCCTCCCACCAGATGTCAAAGAGAACAACAACTACCAGACTTTTAGAAGACATCTGAAGGCAGCCCTGTTTAGGGAGGCTTTTAATGTTCGATGTATTACAGTATTTTAATATTTTTTTGGAAGCCGCCCAGAGTGGCTGGGGAAGCCCAGCCACATGGGCGGGGTATAAATAATAAATTATTATTATTATTAAAGGAAGCTTTAAAGGACGGGCTGTCCCCAAATGTAAATAACCAACCTTGTTATGCAAAGTGGCACTAATGACAGGGAAGGAAAAGGAGTATTTTAGAAATGATGTGTTCATTCAGGCAACTGCTACTTGCCTAAGATATCACGTAGTGCCACCCAAGGCCAGCCAACTCTCCTGTCTGGAATTCTGGAAGCAGGGGAGCCCTTGCTTATGTAACACTGGCCTGGTGTTTTGAAATGCCTGGCATTAGTGCTGAGTCTTCAGAAGACGCTTGTCAAATCAATGCCTCATCCGCATGTATCACTGGAAAAGTATGCTCCTGCAAAGACTGCTGTGCAGTCATTTCTCCTGAATTTCTGCCAGCAGCGTATCGTTCATCTTGGCTTGCACCCGCTGGCTGCGAACAGGCATACTTTGGTTTCACCAAAAGTTGGCACCTAAATTAACAACAAGGAATGAGCCAAGAGCTTTACTGTACTTCAACAACAACTGAAGATATAAACATCCCACAAGCTAGGGCTGGCTAACTTTCCCCTCCCTGCTCATAAAATGATCAATCTGATGACCAGGGAGGGGGCACAGTTTGTATCCCCATAAGGCACCTGGCTGGGCAGATAGGTTTAAATTACTACCCTGCAGTCCTATGTCTAATTTGCAGCTTCTACAAAAATTATTGGGGTCTTGCTGAGGAGGGCAGATTGGACACCCAAACCAGGAGGTAGCCACGCAGTCCATAAACAACTAACAGGAAAGTCATAATCCACCTTCTGGGGGCAGGTGGTAATATGTTCATCAGTCATTTACCCCCATATTGCTTTAATTCTATCCCTGGCTGCTATAAACCAAGCAAGCAAGAGGAGAATCGTATATCACTCCCAGAAAATGCTCAAACACAGGTTTTTGGAGAGTCTCAAGGGGACAGAAATTTCACAGAAGCTCCTGAGAATGCCTGTTGTTCCCCTGATTTTTTGATTTATTTATATTTGCTCCTAGGTGGAAAACCTGAAAAGCTTTTCCTGGCCTGTGTCTGAGATTGCCATGGCACAAAGAGACAAACGTGGTCTCTGGGGCTGATGGGAGTTGTAGTCACCAGCTTGGCCAAGGCTGCTTATGCAATTGCAATTAGTTAACTAGCGGGTAGGAGTTGTGCTCACCCCCTTTGGAATCCTGGGAGCTCAAGGGCCCATAGGATTTAATAGGGCAGGGCTGCTGAATACAGTGCTGCCTTCTCTTCTTGCCATCCTTCCACAGGGCAACAATTCAGTGCAGGCTTGGCAGCTACAGTCTCTTTCCCATGCCCTAGTACAGGCTTGCGGGAGAAGCCATATTTTGCCCAAAAGATCTCCATGTCATGCAGAAAGGAAGGCACATTCTGGCATCTGCCATTGGCCAAGGGAAAGAAGGCCACTAGAAAGCTGCTCCCCTTCGCTCCCAAGAACAAGTTTGCTTCTGCTCCTCTCTGCCGGAAAGAGCATTCAGCCCCAGCTGACTAGAGAGCTGACAGCAGCAGACTCTGGCCTTATTTGTAAAGGGACCGAGTTTCAAGTGAAAAGTTGAATGAATGAATGCTGGAATATAATGCTCTGTATTCTTCTTTGTTTTAGCTTTTTACGCTGGCTGAAAGTCTAGGAGGATATGAAAGCCTGGCAGAGCATCCGTAAGTGAAGTTAATCTGAAATCTCTGTTGGAATCAACTATATGCTTATTTTATTTTTAATCTTTCTAATACTTAATACGATTCAGACTAATGAACACAATAATAATTTGGCCACAATGGCCAAATACTATACTTTATCCCACCTTTCAGTGAAGGGAGATTTATTTTATGTAGTAAATAAATATTACTTATGAATTCTTTATCTGAAGGGCTGATCCTTCAATGTAGTTGAAAACAAAAACTTTTTGTTAAGGTTAAACTTAAGGTTAGGTTAAACTTAATTTTAAAGGCCTAAAATTCATTTGTGAATAAATTATATTCCTCCCAGTATCTTTTAGCCACCAAGCATGGTCTCATTTCTCTTTTTTGCGCTCCCGAAAGGTGGATAACTAATTTTAAATTTACCTTATTTTTACTGCCATCATATCATCTTGCCCTCATCTTATTGTTGTTGTTGTTACCTATAAAATATCCCACTAGCAAATTTGTCCTTTGAAAATACTAAAACCAGTGAGAATTCTTATTACCTATTTTACTACAATAAACAGGATAATTACATGAGAAGTATTTTTTAATTTCTTTTGCTATTTTAAAGTCCTTATTAGTATCTATTAGTATCCAATTTCAAGCCATCTGCCACTACTCAGCCCATAATATATATATCCCAGATCCTTAACCAGTTAGATGTTTAAAGAAAATCATCTTGGCATGAACAGTTCTACTGTTTTTATTCCTCCATAATATGCCGTGTAGCGGTACTCTAATCAATGCTTTCTCAAATAATGAACTGGCAATCTGCTGTTTTAAGCTGTGTACAGAGGAGGGCATGCTTGGTACAGGAAACTGCTGAAGAGCCTATGACTTTGTAAAAGTGTGTATCTTAACGATAGACATGGTACAGATTGGAAGCGTCGCTTTATCACTTCTAAATTACTGCACCTTTCAAATTACAGGAGTTTGGTGCTAGCATTTCTCTGCCTCTTAGCAAGATTTATAGCCAGGAAAAATGACAAGGGTAGTGAACACAGTCTTTTCCCTGGATGTCATCCTGTGGCCATATTGAACCCTCTGGTTAACAAGATTGGCCTGTCCAAATTGGATAGAATCACTGCAGGTTCTGCTGCCACTGTAGATATAATTGTACATTTTAATTTTGGAAGTCCCTGTGAGACCTAGATGTGATGGAAAACAAGGTACATTAAAAAAAATAATAATAATAAAGTAACACTGCAAGCTGGACATAACTAGTTCTGAATCTCTTGGCAGGGCCTCTCATTTATCAGGGAAATCCACATTTGTTTCTGGGTCTTTCTAGACCAATAAGATGCCACATAGTGGAGCGGCAAAGGTTCCACCTCTCTGCTGACAAGACACACCTGTAACTTTTAGGGTCTCGGTAGGATTGAATATGTTTACTGTTGTCCTTGGAAGCGTTCTTGCTGCATTCTGTCCAAATGTAACTTCTCTTGTCCAGGGCTGAGCTCTGGGAAAAGCTTAGCTTTTCTAAACAAGAACTTTATGGCAGAAAGATGAAATTGCTTCTGAAAGCAAGTGTATGGTATCAGTTGACTAACCATCATTACCTCCACCCCCAATAATGTTGCCAAGAAAACACCCTATCAAAATAATAATAATAATAATAATAATAATAATAATAATAATAATAATAATAAAAATTTGTTATTTATACCCTGCCCATCTGACTGGGCTTCCCTAGCCACTCTGGCCGGCTCCCAACAGAATATAATAATAAAAAAGCAATAAAACATCAAACATTACAAACTTCCCTAAGCTGATGTTTTCTAAAAGTCAGATAGTTGTTTATTTCCTTGACTTCTGATGGGAGGGCGTTCCACAGGGCAGGCGTCACTACCAAGAAGGCCCTCTGCCTAGTTTCCTGACTGCCATCTAGAAAACTGCTTGCTACTAGCATAGCAGTTCCACAGCCTTCAGGAAGGTGTCACTATCCCGGAGCACTTGACATGGATTTGAGGCCGTAGTCTAGCATGATCTTAGCGCGCACTTGATGAGGATCAGAGATCTGTCTCTTAAAGGGAATACATTGGCATTTTGCCCATGGATTGATAGCTGCCTCTCTGCTGCCTCTGTGCAATTCTTTTTAACTGTTGCATCTGGAATGACTGACCAACCCTCCAACATTACTGGGTTGCCCCAGCCACTCTGGGCAGCTTCCAACATATATAAAAACACAATAAAATCCCTTCCCTATACAGGATTGCTTGGGGGTCAGATAATTCCATACCCTCCAACATTTCTGCAGTGAAAAGAGGTACATCCTAAGGAAAAGCAGGACATTCCAGGAGCAAATCAGAAACCATGATGGCTTCTCTAAATCAGGTACATCCCTGGAAAATAGTGACACCTGGAGGGTCTGACAGACTATCTGTTCTTGTTTAGTGCCATCATGACTCATGCCTCAGTCCCAAAGGCAGACAGAGAAGTCCTTGGGATCTCGGATACATTAATCCGCATGTCTGTCGGTTTAGAAGACTCGGAAGACTTGTTAGAAGATCTCGACCAAGCTTTGAAGGCCGCGGTAAGTGATTTCAGTTACGGAGAAAGGTAGGGGTATGTTTTTGCTTTTTAGCTCCCCCCATTGCTTTAGAAGTCAATAGTAATTCTGATGAACCCTCAAGTTACATTTGTCAGATAACTTGACAGAACACAGCTAGTAGCGAGAAGTGAAATGTTTTTGCAGTAAGCTCCTGTACTATATCTAACTATACATACTATATAGGTCCATGATTACTGAGCAGGCTAGCTGAACATATTAGTGAGGTGTTGGGGCCAGGTCCCTGCCCCCCTCCATGCCATGCGCACATTCCAATTTATATTCACACGTAGCCCATACACTCCTATAAATGCACATAAAGGTAAAGTAAAGGGACCCCTGACCATTAGGTCCCGTCGTGGCCGACTCTGCGGTTGCGGCGCTCATCTTGCTTTATCGGCCGAGGGAGCTGGCATACAGCTTCTGGGTCATGTGGCCAGCATGACTAAGCCGATTCTGGCGAACCAGAGCAGCGCACGGAAACACCATTTACCTTCCCGCTGGATCTGTACCTATTTATCTACTTGCACTTTGACGTGCTTTCAAACTGCTAGGTTGGCAGGAGCAGAGACCAAGCAATGGGAGCTCACCCCGTCACGGGGATTCAAACCGCCGACCTTCTGATCGGCAAGTCCTAGGCTCTGTGGTTTAACCCACAGCGCCACCCATGTCCCCATAAATACATAAATACACAAATACACATACAGGCACACTATTCCAGGGGCTACCAGCCTTCTGAGGCCAGCAGGCCCATTTTGAATTTGGATATAACCCAAAATGGCTGCCACGAGGGCCATGATATAATGGCAGATGCGTTGAAAAGAGCAGCAGATGAGGCACAATCACAAAGAGGTGTGGGTATGCAGATGGGGGCCAGGGAGGCATCTACATCAGTCACCACTGCACTTACATCCAGAGGGAAGCTCTTTTGCACTTCTGCTCTGCTCAGAATAGGAGGAAGGTGGGTGTCCAGTCCTGGAAGTCAATGAAATTTGGTCATGTTTAAGGGGGCACCCTCAGTGTAAGAGAGGCTGAGCCAGTGCAAACAAGGAACTGAGCAGGAAGAGCAAATCGTCTCTAGTACAATTGTGGATTTCTGAGGGGATATTTATTAGACCTGTTGCAGGTGCCATAGGACTCATGCCTACCAAGCATGAGAACTTGACAAAAAGGGATTACCTGAGTGATAATGGCACTGAAGATTAGCTTTAGGCTAAATGACTGACAAAAAGCATGCTGAATTTTACTGACGACTACGTACACTTCTTTTGCAAAGTGACCAAGATGCCTTTGTCTGCTGACTTCCTCATTTTTCTGCCAGATTCTTTTTCCTTTAACATAGCAGAAAAAGGCAGCTGGGAGTTTGGATGAGTAGCACAGTGTGTTCCAATATGAATCCGATCTGCAATTAAGTTGAGTCATTTAAAGAACAATAGTGATAAAATTTCACTTGCTTTCTCTTGCCACAGATTCCCGATTACAGAATCTATAACTAGGAGTCTTGACATCACATTTAATTCCTGCACACCTGTAATACAAATGAACTGGATGATCAGCTGCTCATGAACTTCCATTGGATTAGATTTCCTGCTGAAAATGAAAAAGTTGATGTTTTTGACGCCCGGAAAGGAAGCCTAGAATACTTGTTGACTCCACAACCCCCTTTTCCCCCCAGAAGTGTCTTCCGAGGTTATCTCCTCATTTTCTGGTTCCTTTGATTTAAAAACAAAAAGAAAGCCATATTTCTTGACAGCAGTAGTTCCCAGGTGACCGTGGTCCACACTCAGGAAGATTGTGCCCAATCACACATATTTATATTTAAATATAAATATTTTTAAATTAGTGTGGCATAATAGCTAAAAGACTGTGCTGTAAATCAGGAAGTCCCTGGTCTGAATCTTGCCTTAGGGTAGAGTTACCAGATGTCCCTGGTTCCTGGGGTCTGTCCCTGGATTTGCAAATCTATTCCCAGGAAACATGGCAGCCGCAGCCTCAGCAGCCCAGAGCCAGCCTGGTAGCACAGTTGGCGCTGGCTGGCTTCAGGAGCTGCTCGCTGCCATGGTGCCCGCCATTTTTCCTCGCTGAAAGTCCCCATATGATGTATCTTGTGCGCAACAGTTTTTAAAAACTGTGCATTTATGTTTCACAGGGTGCAAAAATAGGGCTTTGCACCTTTATACAATATGCATGTGTGCTTGGGCCCAGGGTCTTTTGCCTCACCATCCCCACTACTGACTCCCTGTTGCTACTCAGCTTCAAAAAAAAAAAAAAAAAAAAGTGTCCCCGGATTCATTGAAAAAAAAATCTGGTAACCATACCTTAGGGAAGCCAGTCTCTCTCAGCCTCAGTTCCCCCGCATCCACAATACTGGGTTATTGTAGGGATCACAACTAGCTAATGTTTGTGAAGTGCTCTGAAGTCTTGAAATGGCTATGCCAATAATATTATACTTGATTCTTTTGATAGAAAATTGCCATTATGCCAGCATACTTGGTTGTTTCTTGTCACTGTTATACATGCTGCTGATTTATTTTATTGTTTTTAAATGTTAATAACCGACTTGGAAAAGAGACTGCTGCATTTACCAAGTGTGGATTTTAGATTGGTTCCCACTGTTTTTCTCCTGTGCAATATTGGAAAATGAAGCAAAAAATCAATTGCATGGCACCCTATGCATTAGGTTTTTATCTAAAATAAATAAATATTGAATTTGCTTTGGTTTCTGCTTTTAATTTTTGTTAGGTAAAGGTAAAGGTACCCCTGCCCGTACGGGCTAGTCTTGCCAGACTCTAGGGTTGTGCGCCCATCTCACTCTATAGGCCGTGGGCCAGCGCTGTCCGGAGACACTTCCGGGTCACGTGGCCAGCGTGACATCGCTGCTCTGGCGAGCCAGAGCCGCACACGGAAACGCCGTTTACCTTCCCGCTTGTAAGCGGTCCCTATTTATCTACTTGCACCCGGGGGTGCTTTCGAACTGCTAGGTTGGCAGGCGCTGGGACCGAACGACGGGAGCGCACCCCGCCGCGGGGATTCGAACCGCCGACCTTTCGATCGGCAAGCCCTAGGCGCTGAGGCTTTTACCCACAGCGCCACCCGCGTCCCCCTAATTTTTGTTAATATAGATCTAATCAAACTCTACAATCCTATGATTCCATAACCATCTTTTAGTTTCATTTTTGTTGGTGGTGGTTCTAGTTTTTTTACAACATTCAAGATTTTTTCCCATAAAAGACACGAATTTCATCGTCATTTGCACTATTTATATCAGTTTTATAAAGTTGAATTATTGCTTGGGCCTATTTCTCTAAAGAAACTAATAGGAGGAATGCTTGGTTAAAAGCTCAATATTATAAGTACTTAATTTGTTCTGGAGGTCCGTTCTTAACCTGAAACTGTTCTTAACCTGAAGCACCACTTAAGCTAATGGGGCCTCCCGCTGCCGCCACGCCGCCGGAGCACAATTTATGTTCTCATCCTGAAGCAAAGTTCTTAACCCGAGGTACTATTTCTGGGTTAGCGGAGTCGTATGTAACCTGAAGCGTATGTAACCCGAGGTACCACTGTATAGGCAGAATATTTTTCTGTGGATGTGGCCGCATCAGATTCATTTGCAACTGACCTTACATGTGGGTTTGCTTTAACTAATCCCAGTGTTTTTCCCCCCCTGGGGGTATGTATACCCCTAAACATTTTGTGAATCTAAGTTTGGCCTCATTGAGGGGCAGTATTTCGATATGAGTAGGAAAATGAGAGTACCCCTAAACACTTTTTAATAGGAAAAAAGCACCGACTAAGCCTATGGTTTGTCCTGTAGTCACACTTGCTTTTCTGGGAAGTGGTTCCTTTGCATGCCTTAGTCTGTTTTGCTGTCTTTAATAGTATACCATAGCCTCGGTGTTATAAGTAGGGACAATATTTTATGTCTGTGGGATGGTATTTTGGAGCCATCCTAATCCTTAATACTCTCAGTGTAGAAGAGTTCCTAGCTAGGAACATATGCACACATCTGTTGCCCCACCCCCACCCCTTGGATGCTTTCTAGGCTTTCAGTTTTATACTGCAAGAGTCAAACCACAAAAATATCCTGTAGACAGAGTGACTGGACTGCAAGAAAGCTGATCTGATACTGCGCAAGCCACCTAGGTACAACTGAGAGGTATGTTACTCACCTCAAATCAGACGCCCCCTTTTGGAACTCCTGAGAAGTGAAGGGAATTTCACAAGTGAAATTCTATGGGGGGGAGTTATCCAAGGGAGATGTGGATAATACCACTTACCTTTTGCCAGATGGCATGCGGGTGTTTGGGTGATGTCTCTACATCCCAAGCGCAGCAAGCTGAAACTTCAATAACAAACCAAAAAACAACCCCCTCTGTTGCAATAAGAACCAATCATAACAATACAAACACAACACGTTAGTAGAGAATATATAATAGAATAATGGTATCATTCAAATTCTAGGAAAAAGCCAATCAAAGTTCATATGTACAATATAACAGTGGTAGCGAGGACTGTCAAGCCGTGTGTTCAAAATAGATGTCTAAGGACAGTCTCACAACAGTCTTTCAAAAGTTTCAACAGAAGACGTCTCAAAAGTTTCAAAAGTAAAATCTATCAATAGTCTTTCAAAAGTTTCAATGGAAGTTTTTATTACGTCTGCTGTGGAGGGCTTGCCAAACACAAAACTGCTTTACAGCAGCATTGTGAGGTTGTATAAACAAACCATTAAAGAGAAATAGAGAAAGAAGAATCTCTCCCCCCCCCCAGTCATTTTATCAAGCAATGTGTGTAATACAGTGGTACCTCTGGTTAAGAACTTAATTTGTTCTGGAGGTCTGTTCTTAACCTGAAACTGTTCTTAACCTGAGGTACCACTTCAGCTAATGGGGCCTCCTCCTGCTGCTGTGCCGCTGGAGCACGATTTCTGTTCTCATCCTGAAGCAAAGTTCTTAACCTGAGGTACTATTTCTGTGTTAGCAGAGTCTGTAACCTGAAGCGTCTGTAACCCGAGGTACCACTGTATTACACACATTGCTTGATAAAATGACTGGGGGGGGGGAGATTCTTCTTTCTCTATTTCTCTTTAATGGTACCAAATCCTGATACGATTTGCATATCCCTGAGAAAAAAAGAGCATTGAAAAACGTAAGGGAGAAAACAATGTCGTTAATTTCTGCTTTGGCTTGCTTCCTTGGAGATGAGCTGCCTAGACAGTGATGGCTGGGCAGAGAAGGGAAGTCAACAGGAGGTGGAGCCCCAGCCCCAGTCCATGACTGGCAGAGTCAGCTTAGTCTAGCCATGTCCTCCTCCTCCTCCTCCCCACCCCTCCTGCTGAGTTCTGCAAGGGCCAATCCTAAAGCTAAGTAGTGCCACCCCTTTCATTGCTTCTGAGAAAGAAGGCAGGCAAGTAGGGGCTGGCTGAAGGCAAACTGAGGTTAGTAGGGCAGTATGGAAAACACCATACCTCAGTGGTAGAGCATCCACCTTGCATGCAGAAGGTTTCAAGTTCAATTCCTGGCATCTCCAGGTAGGGCTAGGAGAGTTGGAAACTTTGGAGAGTCACTGCCAGTCGCTGTAAACAATACTGAGCTAGGTAGACCAGCCATCTGACTCTGTATAAGGCAGTATCCTATGTTTCTATGCCCCACTTGCTCAAATGTGCCAGCCTCCATTGTACCTTGACCTGAAATAGTCCACTTCGGAGAGAGTGGAAGTATTAGGACTGAATCTTCCAGATTAGTTTGGGGAAAATTATATTATGGAGTAGGGTCCAGATGAGAAACTGTGAGCCTCCAGATGTAGGAAGGCAAGATAAGCAAAGTGAGAACGAAACTCTAGATGTAAAGGTAAGGTAAAGGACCCCTACACGGTTAAGTCCCGTCAAAGGTGACTGGGGTTGTGGTGTTCATCTCGTTTTCAGGTCAAGGGAGCCGGCGTTTGTCCACAGCTAGCTTTCCGGGTCATGCCGCCAGCCAGGGCCATCTTTACCTGGGGGTGCAAGGGGTGCAGGGCACCCGGGCGCTAAATTCTGGGGGGTGCCAGGAACCTGCCGCTGTAGCTGCCTAAGATCTTAAATATCTACCTGTTATGAAATAATAATTTTTATCAAGCTAGAATAACAAAATACATATATACCTAGGTATTACCAAAATCTATACCTACTGTTCCACTAAAGGACTTTTGACTTTGTGCGCTCATTTACCAAAGATGCGCTGCGCCAGCAGCGGTACTTGTCATTCACAATGGTGCCACTTGACTCAACGACGGCGCTTGTCATTCACAATGGTGGGGCTTGTCAGACTCAACAACGGCGCTTGTCATTCTCAACGCTGCCGTGAACGCAAAATTAACTCTTACATCATAATAAAAGTTAATTTGGGGGCTAAACTAAATTTGGGGGTGCTGGGCGGATCTTTGCACCCCGGCGGCGCATATGCTAAAGACTGCGCTGTGGCCAGCATGACTAAACCGCTTCTGGCGCTACGGAATACCGTGATGGAAACCAGAGCTGCAGCAGCAGTCCCTGTTTGTCTACTTGCACTGGTGTGCTTTTGAATTGCTAGGTTGGCAGGGGCTGGGACAGAGCAACGGGAGCTCACTCCATCGTGGGGATTCAAATTGCAGACCTTCTGGTTGGCAAGCCCAAGAGGCATGGTGGTTTAGACCACAGTGTAGATGGTGAAGTAAGGCTTAGCAGGCCCAACCTATTTCAGTTTAATTCTTCAGGAACATTATAAAGGGTTGGTTTAGTTTATTAGATTCATTTTTCACTTCACACAAGCAAAAAGGGCCCCAAAGCAATTCACAGGGGAAGTAAAATGCAAAATGACACAATAAAAATATCAGTTAAAACTATATACTAAAAAGCATTAATCCAAAAATCATGGTGAATCACAATATTTGGCACAAAAGCAAACACCAGGAACTGCTACTAACTGAAAGTAGAATGTCGAAGAAACAAACCTACCCTACACTAAGGAAAACAACTTCTCTGGTGGCAACTAATTTTCCCATATGAATGCATCTAGGAGCCCTTGTTGTTGGGAGTGGGGGTGGGAAGAGAGCTTTGCCAGTAATAAATA